ATGAACTCACCAAAGTTTCATGCTTATTGGATCAACGGTGTCAGACCAAAATCTAGTTTTATTTTATATACCGTACATAGAGAAAAATCGCACCCTCCCGTGGCGCCGCCCTTGCGAAATTAAAAATGATTTTTTTTTACAGAACCCTTCCCTAGAGATTTATAATGAACTTCCCAAAGTTTCATGCCTATCGGATGAACGGTGTCACTGCAATTCACTTTTATTATTTTTATATACCGTATATAGAGAAAAATCGGACCCTCCCGTGGCGCCGCCCTTGCGAAATTAAAAATTATTTTTTTACATAACCCTTCCCTAGAGTGGTATAATGAACTCCCCAAAGTCTCATGGCTATCGGATAAACGATTCCAAACCAAAATCGACTTTTATTTTTATATACCGTATATAGAAAAAAAAACAAATCGCGCCCTGTTGGGGCGCCACCCCTGCGAATTTGAATTTTTTTTTTTCGCAGAAACCTCCCCAGGAATATTCTCAACAACTTCCCAAAGTTTCACGGCGATGTGATGAGAGGTGTAGTAATGCATAAAGGACAGACGGACAGACAGACACACAAACATACATTGCTTTATATATATATAGATAATTTTAAAAAAAATTAAAGGTGTACTAAGTTGTTACATTTTGTACTGTTTAGTAATTAGAGATTGTAATGACTTGAGATTACTATATTTATTATTTCAAACCTATGTTTTGAGCCGAAGTTTACGGTGATGATATTCTCTTTAAAGATCACCCACACTTATCTAACTTCTGTATTGAAAGATTAGCAAACATTCTACGTAAACATCAGCTAAATTGATAGCTACTATAGTAGCAATCATTCTACGTGAACATCAGCTAAAGCGATCGCTACTATAGTAGCAATCATTCTACGTGAACATCAGCTAAAGCGATCGCTACTATAGTAGCAATCATTCTACGTGAACATCAGCTAAAGCGATCGCTACTATAGTAGCAATCATTCTACGTGAACATCAGTTAAAGCGATCGCTACTATAGTAGCAATCATTCTACGTGAACATCAGCTAAAGCGATCGCTACTATAGTAGCAATCATTCTACGTGAACATCAGCTAAAGCGATCGCTACTATAGTAGCAATCATTCTACGTGAACATCAGCTAAAGCGATCGCTACTATAGTAGCAATCATTCTACGTGAACATCAGCTAAAGCGATCGCTACTATAGTAGCAATCATTCTACGTGAACATCAGTTAAAGCGATCGCTACTATAGTAGCAATCATTCTACGTGAACATCAGTTAAAGCGATCGCTACTATAGTAGCAATCATTCTACGTGAACATCAGTTAAAGCGATCGCTACTATAGTAGCAATCATTCTACGTGAACATCCGCTAAACCGATCGCTACAATTTTGTTATCTATTTTTCTCATTAAAAATAAATAGCAGCATGAGACTAATAATTATTGAATTATTGTATATAGTATAAAAAGTAAATTAAGATTATCGATTTTAATTGTACAAGATTTGATCACAAACTACCAACAGTCATCAATTTACGTGGACTTAGTTAATGTTTTTAAAACGCAAACATTCGTACCTTTTTATTTGAATTTTTTAATCAAATGCATTTAACATTTTTAAACCCATATATTTAAAATGTGCATATAATGTGTGCGCTTGTTGTTTTTTTGATTGCATCTAATATCAAATAAACATTGCTTGGAAAAACAATACAATAATTCGTTTAAATGAATGGATTCTGGTTAGGTTAAAATAAATTCAATAATTATCACCACAACAATGTACGATGTGTAAAATCCTGGTCGGATTTTTAAAAAGACGATGAGGTAAAATAATGTCTTTAATATATGTATTGATGTAATGAATTGATGTGTGTGAATTAAAATGTACATTTAGAAAATTAAAGTTATCAGTAAGTCATTTTGTATTGTCTTGGGGCTATTAGCTTCATAGGAGTCGTCCACAAATGACGTCACACTCGTAGGGGGAAGGGGGAGGGTCCGTAATTTTGTGACGGTGTGTGATGAGGGGGAGGGGGGGTCTGGCTTTTTGTGACGACGTGTGACGGAGGGGAGGGGGTAAAAATTGTCCCAAAAAAAGCGTGACGTCATTTATGGATGACCCCTTAGCCAACTTAAGATCAAACCTCTACATGTGTTTACTGTCCTGGAGCTAGTCACTGAAGTGTTAACATGTAAGTGGGCCCCACCATTACTCTATCACTTGGACCATTGTGTGAGTTACTAGTATGAAGTTGAGCAATTTGTCCTAATTGTTTTATCAGAGCACCTCTTTAGTTACCAAATTGAATTCCTCGATTGTAAAATGAATAATACATGACTCGAAAAAAAAAACAATATATCACAAATGACACAAATGTGGGATAAATTAAGAAATATAAACACTTTAAATTAATAACACAGGACACACATTTTAATGAAAGAAAGCAATACAAACCAATGGCAGTAACATGACACACTGTCAGTAAAATGAGACACTGTCAGTAACACGACACACTGTCAGTAAAATGAGACACTGACAGTAATGCGACACTGACAGTAACAGTTGTTAAAGATTTAGCATTTATTTTACCCCCTTTATCATCAACAATTAATAACAAATTCTTTATAGTTGTTTTAACTATGAACTGTGTTATGTAGCAATTCTTTTCTAGTAGTGAGTGTTAATACATAGGTGAGTAAATACGGTTAATTAATGTTCAGATTAATTACTAGCCCCCCCCCTAAGAAAAACGTATTCCCTCACCACCCCCTCACACACACCACACCTCCACTACCGGGACGTGACTCCCACAATGAGTGGGTCGACCACACGGCCAGGGGTAATCCCTTGGCTAAACAGGGAAGTCTAAAAAATCTTTTATTTGTCCGTTTTGTGGCCAGATTTGAACCAAACAAAAGCCCAAACTGTACGAGAGCGTGTTTCCGTCATCTGGTCTGACTTAAGTCAAATGTACTTTCTGGTTAGAAAAAAAAACTTCCCTCAGACAGGACAGATGAAACAGAAACTGTTTCTCGGATAAACCTCTTTAGGACACGCTGTTGTTTGTGCTGTGTCCAGTGTAGGTTTCAACCGTCTACAAACTTTACACATACAATACACGAGTCACGTGATAACATCTTGGGTGTGACCACCTACTATAACCAGTCGCATATAACTTTTCTTGTCGTAAGAAGATTTCTGTGTGCTCCATGGTTGGATGAACCTCTCCATTCGTACAATTATTTCTGTGAGATTAAACTTTGGACGAACTTTTATTCTGTATCTTCAAAGCTAGGACTTACTTTTTAAACATTTACCGTAAAGATCTAAAAATCTGACTTATTTTACGAACTAAAAGATCTAGTGACGAACTACAAAAGTATTTGTAGTATATCAGTGTTTACATATTTAATTTAAAACTGTTCAGCGGATCTGGTGGACAAGTTCTCTGTGAGACAAGACGTCACACACCACTCTCATGGCAGGAGATAAAGTCCGTCGAAAGCTGTATCTGGCGGCAGTAAAGCGATTTTTTAGGAAGACATTTTGTTGCTGCTGTAGCAAATAAGGGAAGTAACTGAGATAATCCATGTGTAGGGAGATAATTTGGATATTTATCTGGAATCATAGGCTACCAGATCTAAGTAAAAGTTGTCAATGCAGAAACTAGATCTAGGTGGAAGATGGCTCAACGCATACGTTTATATAGATAATGGTTTAATACTAACAAGTGGATCTAGGAAATGGACTAAGACAACAGAGTGAATATGTATGTATGTTCATAAGAATGCCAGAAAGTTCAGTGAACCCAACCAGCCGTGACCTGTGTTACACACGTGACAGGAAGTACCAAACATGAACCACGTGACGCCCTCAAGACTTCAATACTCAACACAAACCGCCACACAATCTTTGCTGAGCCTCCACACAATCTTTGATGAGCCTCCACACAATCTTTGCTGATCCTACCTCCACACAATCTTTGCTGACCCTCCACACAATCTTTGCTGAGCCTCCACACAATCTTTGCTGATCCAACCTCCACACAATCTTTGCTGACCCTCCACACAATCTTTGCTGATCCAACCTCCACACAATCTTTGCTGATCCAACCTCCACACAATCTTTGCTGACCCTCCACACAATCTTTGCTGACCCTCCACACAATCTTTGCTGATCCAACCTCCACACAATCTTTGCTGACCCTCCACACAATCTTTGCTGACCCTCCACACAATCTTTGCTGATCCAACCTCCACACAATCTTTGCTGATCCAACCTCCACACAATCTTTGCTGACCCTCCACACAATCTTTGCTGACCCTCCACACAATCTTTGCTGATCCAACCTCCACACAATCTTTGCTGACCCTCCACACAATCTTTGCTGACCCTCCACACAATCTTTACTGACCCTCCACACAATCTTTACTGATCCTCCACACAATCTTTACTGACCCTCCACACAATCTTTACTGATCCTCCACACAATCTTTACTGACCCTCCACACAATCTTTGCTGACCCAACCTCCACACAATCTCAACTGACCCAGCGTCCACACAATCTCAACTGACCCAGCGTCCACACAATCTCAACTGACCCAGCGTCCACACAATCTTAAGTGACCCTCCACACAATCTTAACTGACCCAGCGTCCACACAATCTTAACTGACCCAGCGTCCACACAATCTCAACTGACCCAGCGTCCACACAATCTTAAGTGACCCTCCACACAATCCTAACTGACCCAGCGTCCACACAATCTTAACTGACCCAGCGTCCACACAATCTCAACTGACCCAGCGTCAACACAATCTTAACTGACCCAACTTCCACACAATCTTAACTGACCCTCCTCACAATCTTTGCTGACCCAACCTCCACACAATCTGACCTCAATCTCTGGTATTCCAACGTACCAAGATGGCCTTGTATGACGTAGTTCCCATTCTGCTCATCCACCTTCTCCTGGACCAGGCCTCCACCATCATGTTGATCCGGCCCCTGATCAACCCCAACATCACCATCTACGTGCCCGAGCACAGCTTTTGGCCCTGGGTGCCCCTGGCCGCGCCCAAAAACTCCAGCCAGGGGAGCGACCACATCCAGCTGCCGGCCCACAACTTCTGGCCCTGGATCCCCGTGGAGGAGCCGGAGTTTAAAAAGGTGAAGGTCGCGAGCTGGGTGGGGTGGGGGAAGTGAATGGGAATGTTATTGTTTTCCTAATATTGGTAACTATGAAAGAGCGTGAGGTTTGTATGTATCTTGATATGCACATAGATCTATGAATAACACACGCCTTCTGTTGAAACTTCAGCAAAACGGATCAAAAGAATTTTTCGAACTCCCAACACACAACTTCTGGCCGTTCATCCCACTATACGAGGCCAACAAGACAGAACCACCCAAGATACCCAAGAAACCTTGGCCACCCAGCGTCAACAGTAAGTCGTTTTTAGCTAGATTTATAGAATACAGTAAGTCACGTTTTAGCTAGATTTTTAGAATACAGTAAGTCACGTTTTTAGCTAAATTTATAGAATACAGTAAGTCACGTTTTTAGCTAGATTTATAGAATACAGTAAGTCACGTTTTAACTAGATTTTTAGAATACAGTAAGTCACGTTTTTAGCTAGATTTATAGAATACAGTAAGTCACGTTTTTAGCTAGATTTTTAGAATACAGTAAGTCAAGTTTTTAACTAGATTTATATATTAGAAAGATAAGTACTTTAAACTATTTTAGCCGTAAAATATAATTGCAAAAATAACAAAGTTTGTCTGTCTTACACCATTGGTTAAAGTTTAGCCTAGCCTACACCATTGGTTAAAGTTTAGCCTAGCCTACACCATTGGGTAAAGTTTAGCCACACCTACACCATTGGGTAAAGCTGTGTTTGTTCCACAGGGTACAACTACGGTGAAGTTTTGTACAAGTCCATTTTGTTTTTCGAAGTCCAGCGTTCTGGCTGGTTGCCAGATAACAGGAAGGTCAAGTGGCGAGGTCATTCAGCCCTGGAGGATCAGGGGGACAACGGAGAAGACCTTTCTGGTGGATGGTATGATTGTAAGTTTGATTGTGTGGTTGTATGCAGGGCAGGGGCGGAACTACAGTGCCGCCAGACCCCGCAATGCGGGGGGGGGGGGGCCCAGACCGATTGGGGACCCAAAAATCCTGGCAAAATTATTTAAAAAATTTTTTTTTTAAATTAGATGGAGGTAGAGTTATCTTTCTTCTACAGTTACAAACAAACACGATAGTCGGCAAATGTCTTTGAGAAAAATGCACAGACTATATCTCGAGAGACCGCCAGACATATAGACAACTTCAAAGACGTAGCCTACCGTTCTTTTTTAGTGGCGTCGATTAGGAGAACAAAAAAGCATTGTTATATTGTTTACATTATTAAAAAACATATCTATGATTGTGTGTTTAAACTACTGGCCTGAATTCTACAAAAAATATAATTATTTATTTCGATCTCATACATTTATAATTGCGTTAATTTTTACTTTAACAACTGTATCAATAAACTTGTAAAAGTTTAAGTTATCTCCCTTCAGCGAAGCATCTGAAATTTGACTGTGCCGGTACTTTGAAATCGGGCTGGGGAAATGTTGCGGCGAGGCGACTATCCTGGTCTTCTAGACCAGGGGTCTCCAAACTTTTTAGACCGAGGGCCACATTAACTATCGAATTTCAGTTTGGGGGCCAGTTTCTTCCAGGCATGTCTTTGATTTCTCTGGGCAAAGGTCCTCAACCATCACCAACAAACGATTTTTCCTTAGACAAAAAGATCTCCGCGGGCCGGATGAGAGGACTTCGCGGGCCGCATCCGGCCCGCGGGCCATAGTTTGGAGACCCCTGTTCTAGACGATCGGAAAAAGTCGGCACTATTGATGTAGATGTTTATCGGCGCTTTCTTGTCCTCTTCCCTTCCCAACTCTCTTCCCCCCCCCCCCTCTACCCCTCACCACACCCTTACTCTTATGTAATGCATAGATTAACGAACCGTCTATGAACTGTAAACTGACCACTTCTGCACATTTTGTTAAAGACACTAGTCAGTAGTTGTTCATTTACCTGATGAACAGGGGCGGAACTACAGTCCCGCCAGACCCCGCAATGCGCGGGGGGGGGGGGGGGGGGGCAGGCCGTTTAGGGGCCCACGGCTGACCAAAATTAATATTTTTTTTAAATTTTGAATTTAATTTTTGCCTTAATATTTGGTTTGTAAAAGAAAAACACTGTAGCTGCGGTACGATTATCTTTATTTTACAGTCACTATACCACGCTCTTCCGCAAAAGATAAAATCCATTACACAAACTACAGTGTAAAATATAGGCAACTCTTCAAATTTTGAATGACTTCTTTGACTCTTTGCCCCCCCCCCTCCCTTTGATAGCTAAATAGAGGACACGTAACTGTTTGACCGATCCTCCAAAGTGTACTGTGGCGGATGGGGCAGGGGATGGGGACCAAAAAGGGGGTTAAAAAATTGTCGACAATTTTTTTTACATATTTAAAACAGTTGCCGGCAAAATTCTTTAAAAAAAAACAACAAAGTCCATAGCACGAAAAGCCGCTACATATGAAGTGGGCTTTCATGATGCGCGGTTCTTATTTGCGGCATTGGTAAGGGACCCGAAATCCATTGTTCATTTTTCAATGTTAATATGTGTTTGTGATAGTGGTTGAATTTGTATCCTGTACTATCTTGTATCCTACAAATAATAAAAAAATAATATAATACTAGAAACTTCAGTTTTATATACGTTTACTTGTTTTTGCTTTTACAAGAAATATCATAGTAAACTTTTAAGGCCTATACTTCAAATTATCTCCCCTGAGTAAGTTTTACAATGGGCGATGCTGACGTACATAGATCAAGGCGTTTGTTGTCCCTTTCAAGTTTTTTCCCGAGCCGACCCCTATCCCATCCCTCCTTCTCAACCTCACAAGTATCGAGGAGATAAATGTATCGTTTATGAACTACTTCCTAACCGTACGATTCACCACTTCAGCACATTTTGTCAGACACTAGACAGCACTAGATCTAGTCAACAGATATTAATTTACTTTCATAGTATTAGGCACATCTAATTCACAAAGCAGGGCAGGTAAGATTATTTTTATATAATTATTTAGAAATTAATTAGAGCGTTTAGAATTAATTGAACATTATTAATAGTCATTGAGGTGGGGGTGTGTGAGGGTCTGGCTTTTTGTTAGTCCCCCCCTCCCCTAAATCAGAAGGTTATCCAACGCGTGACCTGGCCACATACAGTTGTACATGTGAAAAACATTTTTCTCTCTATTATTATTATGCATTACTGCATCATTCACCCAATCGCCATGAAAACTTGGGAAGCTGTTGAGTACAGCCCCGCAAAGGTTTCTGTCATAGGCCTAACATTTGTACATATTTGTGTGGGGACTCCCAACGGAAATATGTGATTTAGCGCCCCGTGATCCTGCATAAGCGGATGAGGTTACTACTTGAATACAACCGGCGGCAGTGTCATCCAGGCTTTTTTTCTAGTTCCGCCACTGATACACATGACATGTTGTTGTGATTAGATTTAATTGAATTTTTTTTTTCAAAACCCGATCAGGCCAGAAATGAGTATCCTATGTTCGTATTGTGTGTTTATATATATATATATATATATATATATATATATATATATATATATATATATATATATATATATATATATATATATATATATATATATATATATATATATATATATATATATATATATATATATATATATATATATATATATATATATATATATATATATATATATATATATATATATATATATATATATATATATATATATATATATATATATATATATGGGGGGCCCAAAAAAAATTTTTGCGGGGTGGCCCATTTTTTCTAGTTCCGCCACTGGTTGTATGATTGTAAGTTTGAGTGTGTGGTTGTATGATTGTAAGTTTGAGTGTGTGCTTGTATGATTGTGTGGTTGTATGATTGTAAGATTGAGTGTGTGGTTGTATGATTGTAAGATTGAGTGTGTGGCTGTATGATTGTAAGTTTGAGTGTGTGCTTGTATGATTGTGTGCTTGTATGATTGTAAGATTGAGTGTGTGGCTGTATGATTGTAAGTTTGAGTGTGTGCTTGTATGATTGTAAGTTTGAGGGTGTGGTTGTATGATTGTGTGGCTGTAGGTTTGTAAGTTTGATTGTGTGCTTGTTTGATTGTGTGGTTGTTTTATTGTAAGTTTCAGTGTGTGGTTGTAAATGCCATTAAGGTGTTTTCAAAAATGCCACCAAAATGTTTTCTAAAATCTCACCAACGTTTTTCTAAACCCCCCCCCCCCCCCCACTGTGTCCTCAGCTGGCGACTACATCAAGTTCGGGCTCCCCATGGCCTCAGCCTCCAGCATGCTGCTGTGGGGTCTGGTCGAGTACCCTGACGCCTACAGGTCGTCTGGTATCCTGGAGGACATGCGGGACTGTGTCAGGTGGCCGCTGGACTACTTCATCAAGGCTCACCCAGAGAAGTACGTCTTTTATGGACAGGTGAGTCACACAGGCAGGGGAGTCATACAGGCAGGGGAGTCATACAGTCAGATGAGTCATATAGACAGGTGAGTCACACAGTCAGGTTAGTCATACAGACAGCGGAGTCATACAGTCAGGTGAGTCATACAGTCAGGTGAGTCATACAGTCAGAGGAGTCATACAGAGAAGTACGTCTTTTATGGACAGGTGAGTCACACAGTCAGGTTAGTCATACAGACAGCGGAGTCATGCAGTCAGGTGAGTCATACAGTCAGGTGAGTCCCACAGTCAGGTGTTACATTCAAATTTCAACCTGACGACATCAAATTGTGCTTCTACTACACTAAACACCTGCTTGTCGTTGCCACACAAGGTGGGTGACCCCTACATCGACCACACCTACTGGGGCAGACCCGAGGACATGGACATGGACAGACCCGCCTTCAAACTGACCCCTGACCTACCAGGTAGTGACGTCATTGCTGAAACAGCTGCATCAATGGCAGCAGGTTATCTCGTCTTTGTTGATGTAGGTATGTGGTGGTATGTGGTGGTGTGTGTGGTGTGTGTGGTGGTATGTGTGGTGGTGTGCGTGGTAGTGTGTGAGGTGGTGTGTGGTGGTTTGTGTGGTGTGTTTGGTTGTATGTGGTAGTGTGTGTTGGTGTGTGGTGGTGTGTGGTGGTACACGTGGTGGATTATTTTTAAATAATGTAGGTATGTAGATAAGCTGGTGGATGATTGTAAAATGATGTAAGTGTGTGCTGGATGATGAGGTGCTGAGTTTATGATGTAGGCTTATGATGGTGTCATATTATAAAACTGCATAAGTGTGTGGTAGAGAATATTCTTTAAAACATTCTTTAATCAACCCGAGAGAATGTCGAATCAACCAAATGATTGTCTGACGTCCTTGTAATCCACAGACCCTCCTTATGCCAAACGTCTGCTACAGCACGCCCAAGAACTGTTTGAGTTCGCTGAAAACTACCGAGGTCCATACTCCAACAGCATCGAGAGTGCCGCGGAGTTTTATGCGTAGGTTTTCACATGTGGATCCTGTATACAGCTGTGTGACATCTTGCTTTGTATGGTGACATGACATCATATGGTGACATGTCATCATATGGTGACATGACATCATATGGTGACATGACATTATATGGTGACATGTCATCATATGGTGACATGACATCAGCCTGATTCTTACCTCAGAATTAGCCCCCTCCATTCAACTAATTTTAATTATGTAAATTGTAATTATTTAAGTCTGTTATAGCGTTAAGCTAGAATACTCACCCCCAGGTCCTCTAACGACGAGGACGAGCTGGCGTGGGCCGCAGCCTGGCTCTACCGGGCCACAGACAACAGACACTACCTCAGGCGGGCCGAGCACTGGTACGGCAGGGCCCCCGACTGCTGGGCTCAAAGCTGGGCGGACAAAAGTTGTGGACTTCCGGTTAGTACATCACATGACGTGCAGTAGCAAGCATGCATCACATGCTATGTAGGAGGCGGGGGTCTTGATGTGTCTGTATATATATATATATATATATATATATATATATATATATATATATATATATATATATATATATATATATATATATATATATATATATATATATATATATATATATATATATATATCAACCAACTAGTTTATGTTATATCTAACTGCTAACCTTATTAGCGTTTGAATAACATGTTAACCTGGTCAGAGTGACCTACTAACCTGATTAACCTGCTACCACCTTGACCTACTAACCTGGTTAGAATGACCTGATTAACCTGCTACCACCTTGACCTACTAACCTGGTTAGAATGACCCGATTAACCTGCTACCACCTTGACCTACTAACCTGGTTAGAATGACCTGATTAACCTGCTACCACCTTGATCTACTAACCTGGTTAGAATGACCTGATTAACCTGTTACCACCTTGACCTACTAACCTGGTTAGAATGACCTGATTAACCTGCTACCACCTTGACCTACTAACCTGGTTAGAATGACCTGATTAACCTGCTACCACCTTGACCTACTAACCTGGTTAGAATGACCTACTAACCTGTTTAGAATGACCTGTTAACCTGGTTAGACTGACCTACTAACCTGGTTAGAATGTCCTGTTAACCTGGTCAGAGTGACCTACTAACCTGATTAACCTGCTACCACCTTGACCTACTAACCTGGTTAGCATGACCTGATTAACCTGCAACCACCTTGACCTACCCCACATGTAGGTCCTGCTGTACAAGCTGACCAAAGACAGGAAGTACAAGCACGACATCGAGAAGATTTTCTACGACTGGCTGCCTGGTGGCTCCATCCACTACACGCCTAAAGGGTTGGCCTATAAGGATGACTGGGGCACGCTGCGGTACACAGGTCAGTCACTGGACTGGATGGGGGGGTCAGTCACTTGACTGGACGGAGGTAGGGGTCAGTCACTTGATTGAACGGGGGCTGGGAGGGTTCAGTCACTAGACTGGACATGGGGGTCAGTCACTTGAATAGACGGGAGTGGGGGGTCAGTCAACGGGGGCGGGGGGGGGGGGGCAGTCACTTGACTGGACGGGGGTCAGTCACTTGACTGGAAGAGGTGGGGGTTAGTTCATGAAATTACTAGGTACACATTTAATAAATATCTTAATAATTGTATCAAAAGTTAATGGACTATTTTATTTTTGGAAATTACCCCCCTCCCCCCCCCCCCCAAAAAAAAATTACCTGTGTCAGAGTGTAAGTAGACCCAAAGATTGTTTAAATAAAAGAAAAAGTCGACCAGAGACTGAATGTATTGCTACAACCATTTGAAACTCTTCTTGTGTGCAGAGGACAATCAGCACAAGCAGACAGAGTTAACTCAAGCTACCTGTAGCATGTCAAACATTTGGAGTCACCGGGCTTGAGTCACCTGCCTCTTGAGTCACCTGCCTCTCGATTTTCATCTCTTTTGAGTCACCATTCTCGCGTCACTAGCTCAGCAAAACTTGTCAGCATAGCCCATTTATATTTCACAATTAGGTGTGACCCAGGTCTTTTTGTGGTTTCTGGTTGCAACATCCTCACACATCAACACATCACACTTATCAGTAACATCTCTCTTCCCAGCTAACATGGCCTTCATATCCCTGGTGGCCGCCGACCTGAACGTGGAGAGCAAGTCCTACCGCCAGTGGGCCAAACGTCAGATACACTACATGCTGGGGGATGGGGGGAGGAGCTACGTCATAGGTTACGGCCATGACCCTCCTACAAGGCCACACCACGCTTCCAGGTAAATTCTCATACGTCAACTATACACCTTGACATAAGCAGTTTTATAAGCCCCACAATATCTGACGCCCCACAATGAGATACGCTCCAAAATAAATGACGCCCACAATATCTGACACCCTATAATATCTGACGCCCCATGATATCTGACGCCCCACAATATTTGATGCCCCACAATGAGAAGCTCTCCAAAATAAATGACGCCCCATAATATGCGACGCCCCACAATATCTGGCGCCCCACAATATCTGACGCCCCAGTACTTTTGTTGCAGCTCCTGCCGCCCCCCGCCCTACGACTGCAGCTGGTCAGACTACACCAAGACGGGCCCCAACGCCCACACGTTGTACGGGGCCCTGGTGGGGGGCCCGGGACGGAATGACGAGTACGAGGATGAGCGAGACGACTACATCCACAACGAGGTGGGCTGTGACTATAATGGCGGCTTCCAGTCAGCTGTTGCAGGTTGGTCAACATCTGTTGTCTTCTTGTTTCTTCTTGTTTCATCCCGAACATGTGCTGTCTGTTTCAGCTCTGTCGTGTGTTGTCTGTTTCAGCTCTGTCGTGTGTTTTCTAGCTGTTTATTACCTTATTGCGTTTCTAGCTGTTCCATCGCCTTGTCGTGTTTTCTGGTTGTCATTGGGTTGTATTTTTCTCTCTCGTATACAGGGTATGAGAAAATATTGTAATCGTGCAAAAAAAAATTAAGTCGAGATTTTGACAAATCTCGATATTTTACACCTTACTGGATGGGGGAAATTTTGCAAGCTCGTCTCTCTGTCTGTGTGTGTGTGTGTGTGTGTGTGTGTGGATACGTAACCACGATATACTGATTACCGTTTGGTAAATAGGTACATACTATGTATATCAAATTTATGATTTTCTATCAACTTTTAAGCAATTTCTGGTAACCGGAACTGATGTCTTATTTCTGGTTTCTAAATTACCGATAATTTGAGTATCGTTTCGGTTAGAAGGACGAAATGTTGTACATAGGTATTAGATCTCATTCTCTTAATTCTGTCGAATTTTGAATGATTTCACGTGACTTTATGCTCTTTCCAATTTCTCTAAAAAAGATCACTTACTTATACTGTATGGATTTCTTTCAAACTTTTCACTCGATGAGTATAACACTGTGACGTAATAGTGACTTAGATTTGTGAATTAGATGTTTGGTTAACTTTTTAAAATTTTAAAATTTAATTAATGTTTCCATTATAAAGTTGGCCTACTAACTTTCTGCGCTATTATACGCACATTATTTGTGTTCATTTGGTGCGTAATTTCTTCTTAAGTGCTTAAAAAATGAATAAAAATAACATGTCTATAGCCCGAGTGCAATGTAAGTGCCACCCTTCTTCCTGCTATATATACGAGAAACTTGAGTGGAGATCAGTCCCTCTTTATTTTATTTCACTATAGTGTTTTACCCTACTACAAGCATTCTATTTTTCCTCTATGAGTAAAAATGTTTGGATGTATCAATTTATCTAACAAGAACTTGTATCTGCCCACAGCACTGAAACATGTTGAGCTCCAGCTATCTTGAGGTGTGTCGCGCAACAAATGTTCTAAAACATTTCAAATAAAATCTTGAGGTGTATCGCACAACAAATGTTCTAAAACATTTCAAATAAAAACTTGAAGTGTGTCGCACAACAAATGTTCTAAAACATTTCAACTAAAAACTTGAGGTGTGTCGCACAACAAATGTTCTAAAACATTTCAAATAAAAACTCGAGGTCTCTCAAACAACAAATGTTCTAAAACATTTCAACTAAAAACTTGAAGCTTCAGAACGAAAGTTGTCAAACAAGAGAAACTACAAAAAAGAAACAATTGGAATCAGATGTTCTGACGTGATGGAGAAGACAAATTTAAGGAAGCAATGGATATAAATGTTTTGAGACACTAAAGCTCAATGTTCTGAAACAATTGAGCTAAATGTTCTGAAACAATAGAGCTAAATGCGCTGAAACGCTTGAACTACACTTGTATTAAAACATTTGCAAAGACAAATGTCTGAAACAAACAAGTCTAGAAACTTTATTTCGAAAGAAAAGATAGCAAACATTTGACAAATTTGAAATCACTGCAACAATGTGAAAGATTTCACGCCAATTTCTCCAACAGTGGCTGATTCTAAAAGTGGCATTCACAGTGGTGTGTGTGTGGTGACCCCAAAAGTGGCATTCAGTGGGGTTAACATTTGCATATAAAACATTTTAACTTTTAAATTGATTCAAGTACTGTCGTCTTCATAAGTTATTGGAGCCAGTTTGTTATTGAATTAAATGCCTTCACCAACTGAAATGTTAATCGTAACATTCCCACAAGAGTGAAACAATAACCATAACATTCTAATTGAATTATCAACTCGGAGTTCTAGAGCAGGACCACAATTCAATGTATATCTGATTGTGTCAGTATTTATTGTTTACTTTCGTCTCCATGGTGATTGATGCTCCCCCTTTTTGTGTATACGTGAACATTTGCATTTCGGTGTAAGTTTGTTATAAATATGTCAGAGTTGTATGATGAAACTAAGACATTTTGGTGTAAGTTTGTTGTAAACATGTTACAGTTGTATGATAGAACTTGGACATTTTGGTGTAAGTTTGTTGTAAACATGTTAGAGTTGTATGTGGGAACTTGGACATTTTGGTGTAAGTTTGTTGTAAACATGTTAGAGTTGTATGTGGAAACTTGGACATTTTGGTGTAAGTTTGTTGTAAACATGTTAGAGTTGTATGTGGAAACTTGGACATTTTGGTGTAAGTTTGTTGTAAACATGTTACAGTTGTATGATAGAACTTGGACATTTTGGTGTAAGTTTGTTGTAAACATGTTAGAGTTGTATGTGGGAACTTGGACATTTTGGTGTAAGTTTGTTGTAAACATGTTAGAGTTGTATGTGGAAACTTGGACATTTTGGTGTAAGTGTTATCTAAACATGTTAGAGTTGTATGTAGGAACTTTGACATTTTGGTGTAAGTGTTATGTAAACATGTTAGAGTTGTATGTGTGAACTTAGACATTTTGGTGTAAGTTTGTTGTAAACATGTAAGAGTTGTATGTGGGAACTTGGACATTTTGATGTAAGTTTGTTGTAAACATTTTGGTTAATATTATTATATGTCCTTATGGAAAACAGAAATATGAATGATGTTTCTTACCACAAGTAAAATATCTTTTATTTTGTGGGCAGTTTTTAAAAACACAACACTAATGGATGTTTAATTTTCTTAAAATTGCGTTTTATTTTTAAATTGTTGTGTTTGTGTAATTAAGTCAAAGTGAAAATGCCACTTCTAAAAATAAATATGTTAGAATTGAAGCACATCAAAAGAAGTTTGTTATTATCATAGCATGTAATGAACTCATCTTACATAGGTGTTTGTGCTTGTATGTGTGTGTGCATGCCGTGTGTGTGCGTTTAATTAGTCACTAGAGTCAAAATTTGGGGGCGGAGGATGGTGACCGCACCAGGTGACACCATTCGGAAAGGTGACACCAAAGTTTATCCAACTGATGCAGTCACCAGCATTAACCTTCATGAGTGCTGGGGGGGGGGGGGGTGCACACCTCTGACGTCACATGGACGCCTTCATATTTACATTGTGTGGGAAGGGGAGGGTTTTTGATTTTTTTTTAAATTAAAACATTTCGCTTAGTCAACCCCCCCCCCCCCCCACCAACCCACCCACCCCCCTACGCCTCTAACAGAGCTGCTCACCTCTAGCCTGCATGACCTTGACCTTCAATCGTCTCAACAGGCCACAGCATGTAGAAATTAACCACTCAGTCAAACCATACATCCAGCTACGTTTTTTTCATTTCGTTCAACACAGTCAAGGGAGATTAGCACAATCCTCATACAATTGTTTGTACTTGTTACCCCCCTTAGATCAGCTTTCGCGACCGAACAGCGTAGCCTATTTGTTTAATAAAAGGTAGAAGCTTATATTTAGTGCGTTCTTTGGTCGACATAGATCTGTCTCATTCACTGAAATTTTACTTGTTTTTTCTTCTATTGTTTAACTTGATTGAGTTTAGACGTTTATCTATATAACTCAAAGAAAAAAATGTAGATTTAAAAAAATACTCGACTTGTGGACTTCGAAAATGTATAAACAGAATTTTACCATTTCTTGAATGCAAAAATATAGATTATTAGCTTTCTTTTTAGGAATATTATTATTATTTAAATCTATGGATTAAAAAAAGAAACTTAGAAATTTCTAAACTTTACTGTCGGTTTGTTCTTGAAAATGTAAATATAACAAACTAGTAAGTTGGGTGCTTCTAAAAATAGCCCTGACTTAATCACCCATTCATTCAGGCTAATCACAATAATCTATGACTAACGGTATGTCCACGTCACGTTATCTATATCAGCCTGTTGTGTTGCCGCTAGGTGCCAACATACACACACACACAGCCACACACACACACAGCCACACACACACACACACACACACACACAGACACACACACATGTACGAGCGGCGCATGAATACATTGACGTTATCGATCTAAGATCGGAGTCTCGGCATGTTCAACACGGGAGGTCAGAGGGCACACAATTGTCACGTGACACATATTTACAGGTCCTGCGGGTAAGGCGAGAGGACCCAATATAATGTCCCATTGACCCAGAATAATGTCCCCTAACCCACCATAATGTCCCCTGACCCACCGTAATGTCCCCCGACCCACCATAATGTCCCCTAACCCACCATAATGTCCCCTAACCCACCATAATGTCCCCTAACCCACCGTAATGTCCCCTAACCCACCATAATGTCCCCTAACCCACCATAATGTCCCCTAACCCACTATAATGTCCCCTAACCCACCGTAATGTCCCCTAACCCACCGTAATGTCCCCTAACCCACCATAATGTCCCCTAACCCACCGTAATGTCCCATGACCACCGTAATGTCCCCTAACCCACCATAATGTCCCCTAACCCACCATAATGTCCCCTAACCCACCATAATGTCCCCTAACCCACCGTAATGTCCCATGACCACCATAATGTCCCCTAACCCACCATAATGTCCCCTAACCCACCATAATGTCCCCTAACCCACCGTAATGTCCCCTAACCCACCGTAATGTCCCCTAACCCACCGTAATGTCCCCTAACCCACCGTAATGTCCCCCGACCCACCATAATGTCCCCTAACCCACCATAATGTCCCCTAACCCACCATAATGTCCCCTAACCCACCATAATGTCCCCTAACCCACCATAATGTCCCCTAACCCACCATAATGTCCCCTAACCCACCATAATGTCCCCTAACCCACCATAATGTCCCCTAACCCACCATAATGTCCCCTAACCCACCATAATGTCCCCTAACCCACCATAATGTCCCCTAACCCACCGTAATGTCCCCTAACCCACCGTAATGTCCCATGACCACCATAATGTCCCCTAACCCACCATAATGTCCCCTAACCCACCGAAATGTCCCATGACCACCATAATGTCCGAAGACGTACCAAGAAATTCCATTTCGTTCGGGGGAAGGCGGTAGACTTTCTCCGGGGGCTTATCCCCCCCCCCCCCCGAGAAGAGATCCCTGGAAGAAGCACTGCCAAATAAACAAATTTTCAATGTGTAACTCATCACATAGTAAAAGATTCTAGATAAATGTACGATTCTACCATTGATTTGGGTGACTATTTGCTATATTTTAAAAAACCTCTTCCAATCCGCACGGTTCTCACAATAATTATTTCCAATCAAACTTTTTAAAATCGCACTAGAGGTTTGTAAAGAATTCGGCCTTTTGCCAGTCAGCTAAACAAAGCAAGGACCTGAAGAGATTATTTAGCCAGTTTGAGCAGGCTAAAGCAATCGATCAAGGCGATATATATTTCATGATCGCCTGTAAGAGGGAAGGGCAGTGTTCTATGCATGAGAAAATACAGCTCAGAACAATACGTCTTGTCTCTGTCTTAGTGTAAACGTCTTGTATCTGTCTGACTTAGTGTAAACGTCTTGTAACTGTCTGTCTTAGTGTAAACGTTTTGTATATGTCTGACTTAGTGTAAATGTCTTGTATCTGTCTGACTTAGTGTAAACGTCTTGTATCTGTCTGACTTAGTGTAAATGTCTTGTATCTGTCTGACTTAGTGTAAATGTCTTGTATCTGTCTGACTTAGTGTAAACGTCTTGTATCTGTCTGACTTAGTGTAAACGTCTTGTATCTGTCTGACTTAGTGTAAACGTCTTGTATCTGTCTGACTTAGTGTAAACGTCTTAAATCTGTCTTAGTGTAAACGTCTTGTATCTGACTTAGTGTAAACGTATTATATCTGTCTGACTTAGTGTAAACGTCTTGTATATGTCTGACTTAGTGTAAACGTCTTGTATATGTCTGACTTAGTGTAAACGTCTTGTATATGTCTGACTTAGTGTAAACGTCTTGTATATGTCTGACTTAGTGTAAACGTCTTGTATATGTCTGACTTAGTGTAACCGTCTTGTATCTGACTTAGTGTAAATGTCTTGTATCTGTCTGACTTAGTGTAAACGTTTTGTATCTGTCTGACTTAGTGTAAACGTCTTGTTTCTGTCTCGCTTAATTACAAGCTAAAAATATATACTTAATATTTTTAAATTATTAAAAGTTTCAAACGTCGTAACAATAATTTCCAGATTAAATATTTGTTTGTTTGTTTGTTTGTTTACAACGGTGTCTTATAAAACTTAACTTTAATCAAAACATAAGTTTTATATTTGTCTAAAGGCCTTAACCATACAACCAAAATATACGTTTTATTTGTCTTAAGGCCTAGACTAACCTTAACCAATACAACCAAAATATACGTTTTATTTGTCTAAAGGCCTAGACTAACCTTAACCAATACAACCAAAATATACGTTTTATTTGTCTAAAGGCCTAGACTAACCTTAACCAATACAAGCAAACCATAAGTGTTATATATAAATAAAGTTCTAATCTAGCCGGACCACATTCCAACAACAAAATAAAACGACTATATTTGAATACAACTCTAATGGCCGGCTAATCAATATTCAATTCCTTTACTTAACCCCTGGGACTTGGCAGAACTACAACTGTGGCTTTATGAAAGGGCCGGGGGGGGGGGGGGGCTGTTGGACAGACGCAGTTGGTTGCTAAGGGAGGCGCCATAACAGAGTTGTCTGTGTGTTGCTTACGTCCCCTGCCCGACCATTGAACACCAAATCGTTGGGATCCAACATGGCTGCCAGGTCATGTGACAACACGTCAGTTTTACAGTTTGGGTATAGGGGCTGGGGTCGGCACTCACCGTTTGGGCACAGGTGGGGAATGGGAAGGATCAAATATTTAAGGAAAAAGAAGACCCCTTGTATAACAGACCCCATGTAAAACAGACCCCATGTAAAACAGACCCCCATGTAAAACAGACCCCATGTAAAACAGACCCCATGTAAAACAGACCCCCCATGTAAAACAGACCCCATGTAAAACAGACCCCCATGTAACACAGACCCCATGTAAAACAGACCCCATGTAAAACAGACCCCATGTAAAACAGACCCCATGTAAAACAGACCCCCATGTAAAACAGACCCCATGTAAAACAGACCCCATGTAAAACAGACCCCCATGTAAAACAGACCCCATGTAAAACAGACCCCATGTAAAACAGACCCCCATGTAAAACAGACCCCATGTAAAACAGACCCCATGTAACACAGACCCCATTTAAAACAGACCCCATGTAAAACAGACCCCAGGTAAAACAGACCCCATTTAAAACAGACCCCATGTAAAACAGACCCCATGTAAAACAGACCCCATGTAAAACAGACCCCATTTAAAACAGACCCCATGTAAAACAGACCCCATGTAACACAGACCCCATGTAAAACAGACCCCATGTAAAACAGACCCCATGTAAAACAGACCCCATGTAAAACAGACCCCATGTAAAACAGACCCCATTTAAAACAGACCCCATGTAAAACAGACCCCATTTAAAACAGACCAACTAGTGTTGACAGTGTGTCTTGGATAAGTTGCAGTCGATCGCTTCCTCCTTCTCCCCAACCCTCCCCCTGTTTATGAATTGTTCTGTACTCGCTGTCGATCAATCAATCAATCACTCAATCGATTTCTCTAACCACAAGTTAATGTTTAAATTTTAATCGTGTTCCTGTTGGCTAAACCTTAGCTGAGTGTGCCAGGAGTGGGGGGGGGGGGGGGGGGCGCTGTAAATGGGAGGTGGCGACCAATGGTCAACTCAGCTACTACTCCCATGACACGACACACGAGTGGTACCTGCCCTTTATTAGCGCTCGTCTCGAATTGTTCACACCATTCGTCACCACCAGACGACTAGTGACGTCAACCACCAAGTTAAACCACTTTTGTCAATAAATCTTTTCATTAGGAAAGCAGTTTTGATAACTCATGAAATATCAGATTCGTTTAAAAATATTTTTTTGCGTTATTCAGCGTAGATGTAGCCGTGTAGCCTAGACCTACTTATTGAAGGTTCGATAAAATAGCCTTCTTATTTAAATAATGAGACAATATTGCGTCTACGGAAATACCCATCAACATACATACAATGATAGGTTGCATAGTTGGCCTCCTCCAACTCATTTAGTCAAGTCGAGTCACTAGCCGATATATATATATATATATATATATATATATATATATATATATATATATATATATATATATATATATGTGTGTGTGTGTGTGTGTGTGTGTGTGTGTACAGAGCCTATATATGTGTTTTTGTATATAAATCTATGCGTGTATAGTCTAATGGTGGTGGGGAGACACTGTGACACCTGTGTTTAAACACCTAGCGACAGCCCTGACTAAACACAGGTATTATACTTAGCGTTGAATGAATTGAATCGAGCCTACATAGTGGCGTCAGTGGTCCCACGTGACTACCGGCGTAACTAAGACACACAAACAGTGACACCTCTCCCTCTACCTGCCTAGCTTGTTTCACCCCCCCCTCACCCCCTTTTATGTTCGTCTGGTTCCTGCTGCCCAAATGTAGGTCTGTATGTATAGATTGACAAAAGTAACAGTGCAGATTGAATAGCCATACCCACATACTCACAGACCTGGTATCGTCTATAACGATACATCTACCTCATACTCACATTATCCCTAATCCTGTCTTTAAATTGAGTCTAAACCTGTTCCTAAACCTAGGATAAACCTCCCTGTCTAAGCCTTTCACATACTTTCACCCCAGCCCCCAAACATAACCTCATAGATTCAAATATCGATAACTGCGATACAAACCCAGTGGACTATAGGGTACGGCTAATCGATAGGGCTGCCGATACTTTCCAGTCGGCAACCGTAGTCACCACAGCGCTTTGCATTGTGGGCGTGACGTTTATTTTTTATAAAACCACTGGCTCGCCGCAGTAGGGTTAGTTTCCAAGCAGATCCAAGTTTTGTATTAACCAGCCATCCCACTAGACACAACACATCAAGATGCGTGAGATCGTACATCTTCAGGCTGGACAGTGCGGTAACCAGATCGGTGCCAAGGTAAGCACAACACTTTTTACATCTTGCTATGCTAATAATACATACAATATATATCTTATGAGCTACACTATTAGTCACGAGGAATTAATCTAGAAAATAGGTCTAATAGGCCTAGTGTAATGAGGGCCTGCGGAGGTTGCTTTTTAAAGCACATTAATCTTATAATTATTTGCTTGAATTAATTCTTAAAGTGTGTCGTGTAATGATCAGCCATATTGTGTATCGCCGACAACACACCTAAGCACGATCGATTGTTCTAGATAGAAGCGGGGGGGGGGGGGGGGAATTGATTTCTTTCTCTCTCCTCTAGACAAGCGCTGTTTTCTTGCATAAGTCATGTGACATGTGTGACGTCACGAAGTGTTTTAATTTATAATACATGAGGGTTTAAAATGACAAATACATTTTTTTTAAAATTTAACTTTTTAAAAAAAAACAAGCTTTTAAATTCACTAAAAAATAAGAACATTGAATAAATATGCTTTCTTTAAAGAAATGTTTGATCTTTAAAACTGTGTGATAGATTTCGTGAGCGACCAAAGCTTTTATTAAAACAAAGTTTGTTTTATTTTCTTATTGTCAATGCAGTATTGTATACGGTTTTTAATTGTTGTTTTATTTTATGAAGTCGACACCACATACGACTAAAATATTTGCTTTAAAACCCGACCTGTAACTTAAGATATCTGAAAGACAATCATCTGCCCCTTCTCTTGTCGGCTAGCTGATCGAATGAATCGATAGTTTTAGATCTCCCCTTTAATTATTGAATTTAGAAATATTTTTATTAAATTTAAATGATTAACCTTATGTCTAATTAAATTACAAATTATATATTCTTGCATTGTTATCGGAGACGAATATAACTAGCAAGCTTGAACAAAATTGCTGCATTAAAAGTCGATTAAACTAAGATACAAGATTTTCCACACATCCATAAACAAACAAGCCCACAAATAAACAAACAAACCACAGACCAACAAAAGAAACAGACGCTGTAAACTACAAAGAAGCTTATTAAAACACCAGCATTGAACCACTACCCACTCGTCAGCCTTTATTTAAGTTAATTTCAATGCAAAAACAGCCCAATGGCTAGGTCTTCTCACATTTCATAAACAAACACTAGGCCTACTCATACTTTATAAACAGCTTTACATCAGCGTTGTACTTTTCTCATCCCATTTCTAACCTGGCTATTTTCTACCTGCACAGTTCTGGGAGGTCATCTCAGACGAGCATGGCATTGACCCCACCGGCACATACCACGGTGACAGTGACCTTCAGCTAGAGAGAATCAACGTCTACTTTAATGAGGCCACAGGAGGCAAATACGTCCCCAGGGCCATCCTGGTCGACCTTGAACCCGGCACCATGGACAGTGTCCGCTCTGGCCCATTCGGACAGATCTTCCGCCCTGACAACTTTGTTTTCGGACAGTCAGGTGCTGGCAACAACTGGGCCAAAGGTCACTACACAGAGGGCGCTGAGCTGGTTGACTCCGTCCTGGATGTTGTAAGGAAGGAAGCTGAGAGCTGTGATTGTCTGCAGGGTGAGTACAGCATTCACATACACACACGTACACACACACACACACACACACACACACAAGGAAGCTGAGAGCTGTGATTGTCTGCAGGGTGAGTACAGCATTCATACACACACACACACACAGACACACACACACATACACACAAGGAAGCTAAGAGCTGTGATTGTCTGCAGGGTGAGTACAGCATTCATACACACACACACATACACATTGGTCACATCACACATTGGTCAGTTACATGCATACCACTCACATCATACATAGGTCAATTACAAATCGTACACTCACACACTCAATGTTGAATTACAATTCAAACACATGGTATGCTTGCAATGTTTTCAACTGACTTTTGTCTTTGACCAGGATTCCAACTCACCCACTCTCTTGGAGGCGGCACTGGCTCAGGTATGGGAACACTCCTCATCAGCAAGATCCGTGAAGAGTACCCAGACAGAATCATGAACACTTTCTCTGTTGTCCCATCCCCCAAAGTAAGTGATGCTTGCATTGTTGACACCTGATTTATTTTGTTCAGTTTCTGGGTTTAGCTTTTAACATTTCACAACCAACATAATTCTCATATTGATACAAATGATGTTATGCTAAAGGTGTCATGTTTATACTTAAAGGTGTCAAGCTAATGGAGTTGTTTATCCCTTGCAGGTATCAGACACAGTCGTTGAGCCATACAACGCCACCCTCTCAGTGCACCAACTGGTAGAGAACACTGATGAGACCTACTGCATTGACAATGAAGCCTTGTATGACATCTGCTTCAGAACCCTGAAACTCACCACCCCCACCTATGGTGACCTCAACCATCTGGTCAGTGCCACCATGTCTGGTGTCACCACCTGCCTCAGGTTCCCTGGTCAGTTGAACGCTGACCTCAGGAAACTGGCAGTCAACATGGTCCCCTTCCCTCGTCTCCACTTCTTCATGCCAGGCTTCGCTCCCCTCACATCTCGTGGTAGCCAACAGTACAGGTAGGTCAACAACCTCTGAGTCACTGACACACGACTTTTGACATGTGTCACTGACACATGACCTCTGACGTGTCACTTGACAGTAATGCTTAGCTTTGACATTTGAGCAAAGAATTACTTTATCACTAGTTGAAACAAATGTTTAAAAAAGCCTTTCCCACATTTAAGAGAAACACATTTTGAAATGTACTGCTGTCATGAACCAAACGTCTTTAAAATTTCAGAGCCCTGACAGTGCCAGAGCTGACCCAGCAGATGTTTGATGCCAAGAACATGATGGCTGCTTGTGACCCCAGACACGGCCGCTACTTGACCGTTGCCGCCATATTCCGTGGCCGCATGTCCATGAAGGAGGTTGATGAGCAGATGTTGAATGTCCAGAACAAGAACTCATCCTACTTTGTTGAATGGATCCCCAACAACGTCAAGACTGCAGTTTGTGACATCCCACCACGTGGTCTTAAGGTCAGTACTAGTTACACTGTTATTTTAAACCTATAGGGCTGTGGGTTTAAACTCACTGATTGTATTGTTGGACCTATTATACATATATAAACCTACATATATTCATACCTGCTTGGTGTACATACAAACCTATCGGTATAGCTGTGTTGTAAAATAATGTATTACAATACACGTTTACCTTAGTCACATGTGTAAAGTGTATTTGAACTTGTTTCCTCTAGATGAGCTCAACCTTCATTGGCAACAGCACCGCCATCCAAGAGCTCTTCAAACGTGTCTCTGAGCAGTTCACCGCCATGTTCCGTCGTAAGGCTTTCCTCCACTGGTACACTGGTGAGGGCATGGACGAGATGGAGTTCACTGAGGCCGAGTCCAACATGAACGACCTGGTCTCAGAGTACCAACAGTACCAGGACGCCACCGCTGAGGAGGAGGGAGAATTTGAGGAGGAGGAGGGTGAAGAGGAGGCATAAACCAACCCACCGGACCCTGCCAGACCCCACATTCCACCTGACCTTTTGATACAAAACATGCAGTGAAACAAACAACTGTACATTGTTTTATTTATAACATTTTAGCTCAAGCTTATGCAGCGTTTAGGCCACTCGAGCCGCCGTAAAGACACAGGGCCCTCACAACCGTCACAAAATGGGCCAAAATTTCGAATGACCCTCCATATCTTTGCAAGACTTACCTCAATGTTCCATGACAAACATCATTGTCCGATATAAAAAGAACATTGTGCCAGCTGATCGATCAGGTCGATATAAAGTAATCGATCATGCCGATATAAAGTAATCGATCATGCTGATATTTATATATTTAATGGACGCCTGCAAGGAAGTTTGGTTGAATTCTTCAAATAACACTTGTTGATTGGATGAAGAAAAGTTCTGTCTTGTGTCCGTCTGATTGTCTGTTTTAATAATGAGCTAAGATTTATCAATATAACATTTTTGTTATGGTTTATAAAGTATTCAAACATGGTAATAAGTGTTTGTTGGTGTGTTTTATAATTATGATAAGAAATTATGGATGTTTAGTTTAACAATAGAAGGTCAAGATTTGCTTACACAAATGCAACCAAATCATAAGTTTCTTATCTGACTAAAGCCCTATCTTACTTTCACCAAAGTACCTAAATAATTAGTTTCACCACTCGATTATGGTTTAATGTAACCTCTAAAATGCAACAATAATTTTTTTTTTAAATTTAAGGCTATTTTGTTCGTATAGCTGGGAACCATTATATTTGCTTACTTTTCGAAATATGAAAGTTATAATAGAATCAAATTAAATACCCTGTCCTATTAAAAATATTACCGGTAACATTGTAGCTACGCTTATGACAACTTGTTATGGATTCAAATAAATAACAAACTGTACGCTTCTTTAAAAACACAATTTTTCGTAGGCTATATTTTTCTTTACGCTAGCCTACATCTTGTAGACTATCTATATCATTGTTTACGATTTTTAATAAATTAACAATAGCGGAAGTAACTTTTCTATTCATTTATTTTTTACCGATTTAATAAAAATATTCACATTTAGTTTGTAAAAAAAAAAGCCATCTGGCAAGTTTGAAAACGATAAATGGGTGACCTACTAACAAGCCCTATAAGGATTGAGGGGAGGGGTATTTCCTTTTAGCCGAGCCAACACGGTTGCTAAGCACGTTGCCATAACAGAGTTGTCTGCGTGGCTGCTTACGTCCCTTGTCAGACCATTGAACATATGAGATCATTGGAATCAAATATGGACGCCTTATCATGTGACTACACAAGACACAAGTTTGAGCCCACACTAACCTCCCTTGGCCGCCGCAGTGGGCGCTCACTGTTACTCAGCATAATGGAAGAGCGGGGCAGAATATTCTATCGACACGCAAGACAGCCATATGTGTAGTAATTAGCACACAATACAGCTATATGTGTAGTAATTAGCACACAATACAGCTATATGTGTAGTAATGGGCACACAGCACTGCTATATGTGTAGTAATGGGCACACAACACAGCTATATGTGTAGTAATGGGCACACAACACAGCTATATGTGTAGTAATGGGCACACAACACAGCTATATGTGTAGTAATGGGCACACAACACAGCTATATGTGTAGTAATTAGCACACAATACAGCTATATGTGTAGTAATGGGCACACAACACAGCTATATGTGTAGTAATGGGCACACAGCACAGCTATATGTGTAGTAATGGGCACACAACACAGCTATATGTGTAGTAATGGGCACACAACACAGCTATATGTGTAGTAATTGGCACACAATACAGCTATATGTGTAGAAATGGGCACACAACACAGCTATATGTGTAGTAATTGGCACACAACACAGCTATATGTGTAGTAATGGGCACACAACACAGCTATATGTGTAGTAATTCTGTCTTTGGTCAAATAGAACAGCCAGTTATTGAAAGAAATATTTAAGTGGCTTGGATAAACTGTTTGTGCTAGCTGACTCCATACGTCATACTTCGCTAGCTGACTCCCCACTTCATACTTTGCTAGCTGACTCCACACTTCATACTTTGCTAGCGCTAGCTTACACCACGCTTCATACTTTTCTAGCTGACTCCACACTTCATACTTTGCTAGCTGACTCCACACTTCATACTTTTCTAGCTGACTCCACACTTCATACTTTGCTAGCGCTAGCTTACACCACGCTTCATACTTTTCTAGCTGAATCCACACTCCGTCCCATCTTAAGGTGTCAACTGACCACCCCTCATATGTTGCTATCCGACTCCATCACATCATCAGGTGCTAGCTGACTCAACCACCCCACTCCTTCATTACACATATTGTTTCCTACTAGCATAGAGACAAGCGCTGGACGGTCATAGAGACAAGCGCTGGACGGTCATAGAGACAAGCGCTGGACGGCCATAGAGACAAGCGCTGGACGGTCATATAGACAAGCTCAAGACGGTCATAGAGACAAGAACTGGACGGTCATATAGACAAGCGCTGGACGGTCATAGAGACAAGCGCTGGACGGTCATAGAGACAAGCGCTGGACGGTCATAGAGACAAGCTCAAGACGGTCATAGAGACAAGAACTGGACGGTCATATAGACAAGCGCTGGACGGTCATAGAGACAAGCGCTGGACGGTCATAGAGACAAGCTCAAGACTGTCATAGAGACAAGAACTGGACGGTCATATAGACAAGCGCTGGACGGTCATAGAGACAAGCGTTGGACGGCCACAGCGAGAAACCAATGAGTGGAGAAACATGTCCAGTCACCTGAAGGTGTTCCAGACCGCTCTAGCTACACTGTTTAAACCAATGGCGTGTTGGGACAAGCACACCCAAAAATTACACACATTCTCGGGTGTCGATCAAAATTAATTAATTAAGTCTAAGAAATTGAGTACAAATTGGACCAGAGCTAATGTATACAAAAAACAAATGACAAACTATACCTCATTTTAAAATAGTTTGTTCCATGCCAAATATTTTTTTTGTTCGGTGTTTACAACAAATACTTTTAAAAGCATTTCATTAGCCTAATTTATACAGTTGTTACTTATAAAGAAACTTGTATGGACATGGGTCAGCCATTTCTTAACTGATGACATAACACTAACGGAACTATGGTGTATGTACATGCTGGACGTATTAAGTCAAGTCCACACAGCGATATCGAGGCGCCAATAGCACAACAAGTCTATACAACAATTCTATATAACAAGTGGGGGTATCCAAGGCAGGCCCAAACAGTAACAATAACTCCCTCATGTACCAGCTTAGCTTATTCCCTCCCTTGAGACTTGTTCACATTTTCCCGCCCAAATGTAGGTCAGCAAAGACTGATATTAGTAAAGGCACTTGTTGGCTAGAAATACACATTCACACACACACACACATATACACACACACATATATATATATATATATATATATATATATATATATATATATATATATATATATATATATATATATATATATATATATATATATATATTAATTTATTTATTTATATACATACATATGTATACATATTTTTAAATAGAAATATATATAGGCCTATATATATATATATATATATATATATATATATATATATATATATATATATATATATATATATATATATATATATATACATATATATATATATATATATATATATATATATATATATATATATATATATATATGTGGTTGTGTGTGTGTGTGTGTTGTCGCCATTTATCCACCTCTGGTCCTATTTATATGCATATCGGCGATTAACCTTAATCATTTCCCGAAATCACCTAAACCCTACATTAAACCTAACGCACGTTAATCGATCAAGTTTAGAATTGTTGTCAAGTCTTAAACCAGCCCACTCAGCTCCTGTCGTGTAAGCAAAACTTTAAACAGTTGATTGTACGAGGGATATTTTATTTAAACCACTCGAAAACCCAACCCTCCGCACGCCCTTCCCTCCCTCTCCCCCCCCCCCCCTTTTCATAGCAACGCAAATACCAACATCTTTAAAAACTTAATCAAACTTTTTTAATGTGTATAAACAAAACAGTAAATAGTAAGTTTCTAAAAAAAACATTCGTCAAAATATTTGAAGGAAAACAAAAATAAAATTCTACACACAAAGGCGAAAGGTTCATGAGCGACACGTCACTTCAATCGATATGGTTAACCTACCGAAACAACAGTCTTAACAACAGCAGACGATCACACCAATACCGGCCCAGGGGTCGTTACTGTTGACAGAGTTGCCAGGGGTAACCGTCGTCAGCACAGCGCTGTGCATTGTGGGTAGAGCATATTTAACCCCCGGCTCGCCTTAGTGCGGTTAGTTTGGGTGATCCCTCCCTCTAAGCAAATCCAAGTTTTGTATTAGCCAGCCATCCCACTAGACACAACACATCAAGATGCGTGAGATCGTACATCTTCAGGCTGGACAGTGCGGTAACCAGATCGGTGCCAAGGTAAGCACAACACTTTACATCTAGCTATGCTAATTAATTAAAATTATGATAGGTTGCTAAACATAGCTTTAGATCAAGCATAAATTATGTAGGCCTATACCCCATACACTATTAGCCTTTCATATAGATCTATCACATATTTATTTAATATATCTTTAGGTTTAGGTTAAGTACCGGCTGTGGCTTATAATTCATTTTAAATTGAAGACAAGTGTCAAGTATTATTAATTAATTAGTGGTCCATGATTACTACCTCATTATCACGAGATCTGCTATTTAGCAGTATAACCTACTTGATTATACTACGGTCCAAATTATTTGAGTCATCAAACGACGACGCGACTCGTAGATTGTTGTTGCTAATATTAAATTACCCAGAGGGAAATATTGTCAGTTTAAATCTGCTAGGTAATGGGACACTCGGTGTGGAAAATGTGAAAAATTCCGTCAACACCTAATCGATATTTACATTCGATCTTGACTGAGTCATCAGTCTTATGTGTGTAGGTGTCGTGTGTCTGACACATGCCTGTGCCATGGCCTGTTTAAATAAAACGTCACAAATGTATCTCTGCCCCCTTTAACTACAACTGATTCACACGACAGTGATTGGCGTGTAGTGCCCCAGCCGTCCTGTGGCAGGGTGTGTAGTGCCGCCGGTCCCGTGTGTCGCGCACACAGCACACCCGGGCATGGGTCTACTGTTCTAGATAGAAGGAGGAGGGTATTGATTTTTTCCTCTCTCCTTTAGAGAAGCGCCTCTAAACCAAGGATTGATACGTTAGCCTTTTTTTAACAATGAGCAATTCATAAACACAAAACACTAGACCTACCCATATTTTATAGACACAACTGCAAGGCATACTCGGCATACTCATACATTAGAAATAGTACAGACATAAATTTCCAAATAATTAACTTATTTATTTTTTATAATAAACACCCAAAAAATTTAGAATGAACAGCCAAACACTAGGCCTAATCATACTTTATAAACAAACACTAGGTCTACTCATACTTTATAAACAGCTTTACATCAGCAGCGTACTTTTCTCATCCCATTTCTAACCTGGCTATTTTCTACCTGCACAGTTCTGGGAGGTCATCTCAGACGAGCATGGCATTGACCCCACCGGCACATACCACGGTGACAGTGACCTTCAGCTAGAGAGAATCAACGTCTACTACAATGAGGCCACAGGAGGCAAATACGTCCCCAGGGCTATCCTGGTCGACCTTGAACCCGGCACCATGGACAGTGTCCGCTCTGGTCCCTTCGGACAGATCTTCCGCCCTGACAACTTTGTTTTCGGACAGTCAGGTGCTGGCAACAACTGGGCCAAAGGTCACTACACAGAGGGCGCTGAGCTGGTTGACTCCGTCCTGGATGTTGTAAGGAAGGAAGCTGAGAGCTGTGATTGTCTGCAGGGTGAGTACATCATTCATACACACACACACAGACACACACATACACACACATACACACACATACATACACACACATACACACACACACACAACAAAGCTGAGAGCTGTGATTGTCTGCAGGGTGAGTACAGCATTCATACACACAGACACACACACAGACACACACACACACACACACAAGGAAGCTGAGAGCTGTGATTGTCTGCAGGGTGAGTACAGCATTCATACACAGACACACACACACACACACACACACATACACACACATACACACACATACACACACATACACACACACACACAAGGAAGCTGAGAGCTGTGATTGTCTGCAGGGTGAGTACAGCATTCATACACACACACACGCACACACACACACACGTACACATTGGTCACATCATACATTGGTCAGTTACATACATTTTTTCAACTGACTTTTGTCTTTGACCAGGATTCCAACTCACCCACTCTCTTGGAGGTGGCACTGGCTCAGGTATGGGAACACTCCTCATCAGCAAGATCCGTGAAGAGTACCCAGACAGAATCATGAACACTTTCTCTGTTGTCCCATCCCCCAAAGTAAGTGGCAACTGATTTATTTTGTTCAGTTTCTGGGTTTAGCTTTTAACATTTCACAACCAACATAATTCTCATATTGATACAAATGATGTTTTGCAACAAGCTAAAGGTGTCATGTTTATACTTAGAGGTGTCAAGCTAATGGTGTTATTTATCCCTTGCAGGTATCAGACACAGTCGTTGAGCCATACAACGCCACCCTCTCAGTACACCAACTGGTAGAGAACACTGATGAGACCTACTGCATTGACAATGAAGCCTTGTATGACATCTGCTTCAGAACCCTGAAACTCACCACCCCCACCTATGGTGACCTCAACCATCTGGTCAGTGCCACCATGTCTGGTGTCACCACCTGCCTCAGGTTCCCTGGTCAGTTGAACGCTGACCTCAGGAAACTGGCAGTCAACATGGTCCCCTTCCCTCGTCTCCACTTCTTCATGCCAGGCTTCGCTCCCCTCACATCTCGTGGTAGCCAACAGTACAGGTAGGTCAACAACCTCTGAGTCATTGACACACAACTTTAGACATGAGTCATTGATACACGACTTTAGACATGTGTCACTGACACATGACTTGTGACAAGTATCTGACACTTAATGAATTGTATGTGTCTTTAACTCTTAGTTTTAAAAACTTCTAAAAGAATTGTTTTACAAAAACAGAGGATCAGATGAAAAATTATTTAAACATGAAAGATGATTTTACAAAAACTTTTCCCCAGAGCCCTGACAGTGCCAGAGCTGACCCAGCAGATGTTTGATGCCAAGAACATGATGGCTGCCTGTGACCCCAGACACGGACGTTACCTGACAGTTGCTGCCATGTTCCGTGGCCGCATGTCCATGAAGGAGGTTGATGAGCAGATGTTGAATGTCCAGAACAAGAACTCATCCTACTTTGTTGAATGGATCCCCAACAATGTCAAGACTGCAGTTTGTGACATCCCACCACGTGGTCTTAAGGTTAGTACTAGTTAAACTCTTATTTTAAACCTATAGGGCTGTGGGTTTAAACTCACTGATTGTATTGTTAGACCTATTGTACTTAAATAAACCTACTTATATTCAAAACGGCTTGTGCACATTAAAACCTATGGGTGTATTGTATAACCTATGTAGTCAAATAATGTATTACAACACAATTTTACATAAGTCACATGTGTAAAGTGTATTTGAACTTGTTTCCTCTAGATGAGCTCAACCTTCATTGGCAACAGCACCGCCATCCAAGAGCTCTTCAAACGTGTCTCAGAGCAGTTCACCGCCATGTTCCGTCGTAAGGCTTTCCTCCACTGGTACACTGGTGAGGGCATGGACGAGATGGAGTTCACTGAGGCCGAGTCCAACATGAACGACCTGGTCTCAGAGTACCAACAGTACCAGGATGCCACCGCTGAGGAGGAGGGAGAATTCGAGGAGGAGGAGGGTGAAGAGGAGGCATAAACCAACCCACGTGACCCTGCCAGACCCCACATTCCACCTGACCTTTTGATACAAAACATGCAGTGATGCACTCGACTGTACATTTATTTATTCGAGCCATCAACAGCTTTCAGAAAAACTGAATTAAAAAATTTAAAATCTTGTAAACCTTTTTTTCATTTGTTAACTGTCAGTAGAAGTTGGATTCTATGTCAGCAAGAAAGCTTCAACATTTGGACTTAAAATTTTAATGTTTGGACAAAAAATATTTTTAAACTTTAAAAAATGAAAAGTATATCTATAGTAAACAAAAATAAAACAAACGAAGTGCATTATTGCAATAAAGTTTTACTGGATAGAAAAATTTTAAAACGTTTCCTGTTTTGTTATGGGTTCGTGTGATTTAGTTGTGTCCCTTTACATATTCGACTAACCTTATCTTATTTTTTTTTTCTTTGTTATGCCCCTTTACACACTGGACGTCTTACTACAAGTGCTTTTGATTTAGTTATGTCCCTTTATGTACTCCAGAAACGTCAAACAGCCCGTGTGAAATCAAATGCCTTCTAACATACACGTCTATGGTAGCCCACATTCTCTAGAACTCAGCTTTACACATCATCTTGTTATTAACAGGCAATTTTTTTTTTTACATTTTTTTACAGTTAAACTTTAAAAATATTTGTGCAGTGATAACTATAATACACCGTTCATAGTAAAAATAAAATCAGGCCAAACCATAGAAGTTGTAATCCAACTGAAATACTGTGTAGGCTTAGTGGTGCACGATATCAACATGAATATTTTATCAATCTTAATCGGATTCAAACTTTCAGTTAAATATATAATAGTGTGTAGTTAAATGTATCATCTAATGTTGATTTGTTGATATGCAGTGTACTGTTATGAAACTAGTTTTAATGCTATCAGTTAGACAATCTCAGATGTTTCGAAGTTATTTGAATAGCTTTATTAGATCAATATCTGGACAGTTTTACTACATCTATTTAGCCCAGTCTTCCTTGGTATGCAATAAAAAATTGATATTCTTAGACTGGAAAATACAATACATGTTCTCAAATAATTATTTAATAATTGGGCTAAAATTCCCTAGCTAAACGAAACTTTGTTAATGAATGCTCCTCATTTACTCCTGTCGACCCCCTACCCTGGGGCCATCTCCCCCTCCCCTGTATTTTACCTTTGTCCGAATGGAGAAAAATATTACCCCCACATGTCTATTATAAATTGCCCCTCGATCCTAACATTATGCAAGTAATACATGGTTTAAATCTTCAGTGAGGTCACGGTTAGGTTCAGGGTTGGAAAATTTTTGAGAGGAATATGGTTGTGTCTGTTCTACTGATATTCTATAGGACGACTTACAAAAAGACGAATTATGATTATTCTCACACAATGTCAGTTTATTTCTTGGTAACTATAAATAGGGGGGTAAACAACATGGAGGGTAACTGACTGGGGTTAATTGATGGGTGGGGGGGAGGGTGGCTAGTCAGGTATTAGGAAACAGCAGAAGTACAGATACTAGTGTGGTCTGATATTGTGGAAAAAAAAAACGCATCACTTAAGCCTAGTTCTCACGTGATCGCCTAGAAGTATGCAGGGGGATTCATAAAAAGAGGTATTTACAATCAGTGTTTCTTTCAGATTTTTTTTCTCGGGGGGGAGGGGGTGGCACTTGAAATTTTCTGGTTGGGGCGCGAAGATGGGGATGAACACAAAGTATATATTCTCAATATAAATTCTATTTTGTTCGGGGGGGGGGGAGAGAGCAGGGCTGGTGCTAACTTAAAGGCGAACTAGGCGGTCGCTTAGGGCGCTATCCATAGGGGGGCGCAAAAATGTTTAATCGCCATTTTAAAAAGTATCTATTTCGGCGCCCAGGACTAAATGGGCCCTATGGGTATTCGCGTTGGTGAAAATGCCCCATCCTACCTCATTTCAATAGAATGTGATCACATTGGAATTAGTAGAAACTTTAGCGACGAAGAAGGCACGAAAAAAAATTAAGTTTAGATTTTGAAGTCTACCTTTAACGCTTATGCAATGGATTAAAATGTAATATGCACTCTTAATTTATTGTTTGCTTATACATATGTTTTTGTTATTATTTTGTGTGAAAGGGGGCGTTTTAATAAGTTTTTTCTAGGACGCTAAATAACCGTAAAAAATGGTACTGTGGATTAGCTGGGAGAGAGGGGAAGAAATAATAATCTCTTTTTTTTACAATACATAATTTTGGCCATGTAAGTATATTTATTGACAGTTGCAAGTTTGCAGTTTCTATCAGTTGTTGTTTTACAAGTTGGAAGTGTGTCTGTGTGTGTGTGTGTGTGATTGTGTGTGTGTGTCTGTATGTGTGTGTCTGACAGTGTCTCTGTGTGTCTGCCTATATGTGTGTGAAAATATTTCACTTATAAAGTCCTCCCTGAAATTCTGATACCATGGCGCCCAGGATGTTTGTTTGTTTGTGTATGTGTGTGTGAGTTTCTGCCTATGAAAATGACTACGCCACTGAAGATATCTTGCCTAGGATGTAAGATATGTCAGGGCACTAAAACGGTTTAATGTTTTTACTGTTTGTTTATAGATCTAGATCTAGTTACATGCCATTTAGCTATCAAAATGTAATCGTTTTATTGGCTGTAAACTATGCTAATTTTCCTCGTACTCTACTCTGCCCAATGTTTAAAATTTAATATGGAATATATATATATATATATATATATATATATATATATATATATATATATATATATATTAACATGTACGGAATATTGGCCCGCTAACCCAAAAGTCTCGAGCTCGGATACGGGTTCAAGTCAGTAGAGTGTCCATAAGTCAACTCAGTCCTAATCGGTACCTAACTCACGTTAGGGAAAACAAATGCGGCTGGGCATAATGCTGACCACACTATCCCTTCATATGCCGAGGTATCTGAAACAGATAAACTCTAGGCCTACTTCATCTGCCACATGTGCCTTGCCCACGAACTGGAAAAAAATGATGAAGACGAAGATGATGTATAGAATACTAGCAAGATATAAAAAGAACTTAAAAACGAACATGTGTCCGCCTTGTGCAAGCCACAAGTTCTTCTAACAAGGTTATTGCGTGAAATAATGTTTTTATCATCAAGGAAAAGTCATAAAAGAGGATAAGCTGTCATTGAGCAAGCTACACTTGAAAGTTTTGTTTACATAACCATAAATTATGGCCGCCATCTCAGGATGGGGACAGAGGAATCACTCGCTCTACAGATTTTAATACGTCATCCCGGGGGGTCATTAAAATATGTTTTCTTTTTTTTAGTTGCCATTTCATCTTCCATCGTGTCTTCCAGCGCCCACAAGGAATTTTAAGTATGGAAGCTCTTAGTTAGTAGACATTATGGCTGTATGACCTCAAACGACGTCCTCTGTGTTGTCTATAGAAAAATTAACTACGCCCTCTATCGGTATGACCCCAAGCTAAGTCCTCTATTGAGTCTATATCTACCTGTATGACCCCAGACTACGTCCTCTACCTTATGACCCCAGACTACGCCCTCTACCTTATGACCCCAGACTACGCCCTCTACCTTATGACCCCAGACTACGCCCTCTACTTGTATGACCCCAGACTACGCCCTCTACCTTATGACCCCAGACTACGCCCTCTACCTTATGACCCCAGATTACGCCCTCTACTTGTATGACCCCAGATTACGCCCTCTATTGTCTTTATGACAACGCCTTCTACCTGTATAACCCCAAACTTCGCCCTCTACCTATATGACCCCAAACTTCGCCCTCTATTATTTAATATGTATAACAGTAAACTAAGTCCTTATTTTTCGGCCCAAAACAAAAATAAATCTTCGGGGTCCAGTTAAGTAGAATATAGTATGTCAAGGTCAGGCACTAAAAACGTGTCAAGTTTTGAGGGTTTGCCGTGTGCGTCAAGATGAGAGGGTTTGACGAGAAAATTGAAGCAGCGAATTACACTACTACATCACAAGAGTCGATATATTTCATTGTTATGTATCTGAGCTATTGGCTACAATTTCGCCTGACGACTAGCATTAATAAAACTGTACGATTTTAAGACGATTTAAATCAAGGCAAGCTACTCTGGCATAAGATAGATAACTCTACTTACGGATTTTTTTTTAAATTATTAAAGTAAAATCACAAAGTTTTAAATTGTAGAGGTATTTTAAAAATTATTTGTTAAACAATCAGATAATGTTAACCCGGTTAAAAATGTTTGCCTCTCTCCATAACGCCCCACCCCCAGTACCGTCAATACCTCAATACCTTGCTCTAGTATTAAAACATATTGAGTTAAAACCTATTGAGTTAACACCTGTCGAGTTAAAACCCGTTGAGTTTAATAAAAACCTGTTGTATTAAAACCTATAGTGTAACTCCAATGTAGCTTCAATTAACATGTTCAGTTGCTTCAAAGCGGAAATTTCAAATATCAAAGAACGTAAACAATGCAACAGTAAACCATTTTAGGGGAATTTCTCTCAACACTGCGTCGAACAAGAGCACCAAACTGTGTCATTAAAACAACTATTCAGTAGCGTCCCCTGATGTGCAAAATTAGAAAATCTTTCGTTTCAGTCTAGGATTAGTATTAGGTGGGTGCTGAGTAATCGGCAGTGTTATCATTGTGTTTGTGGTTATGGGATGTATCGGGCAGTGATTGTCAGTGTTATCGTTGTGTTTGTTGTTATGATGGGATGTATCGGGCAGTGATTGTCAGTGTTATCGTTGTGTTTGTTGTTATGATGGGATGTATCGGGCAGTGATTGTCAGTGTTATCGTTGTGTTTGTTGTTATGATGGGATGTATCGGGCAGTGATTGTCAGTGTTATCGTTGTGTTTGTTGTTATGATGGGATGTATCGGGCAGTGATTGTCAGTGTTATCGTTGTGTTTGTTGTTATGATGGGATGTATCGGGCAGTGATTGTCAGTGTTATCGTTGTGTTTGTTGTTATGATGGGATGTATCGGGCAGTGATTGTCAGTGTTATCGTTGTGTTTGTTGTTATGATGGGATGTATCGGGCAGTGATTGTCAGTGTTATCATTGTGTTTGTGGTTATGGGATGTAAAGGGCTGTGATTGTCAGTGTTATCATTGTGTTTGTGGTTATGATGGGATGTATCGGGCAGTGATTGTCAGTGTTATCATTGTGTTTGTGGTTATGATGGGATGTATCGGGCAGTGATTGTCAGTGTTATCGTTGTGTTTGTTGTTATGATGGGATGTATCGGGCAGTGATTGTCAGTGTTATCATTGTGTTTGTGGTTATGATGGGATGTATCGGGCAGTGATTGTCAGTGTTATCGTTGTGTTTGTGGTTATGATGGGATGTATAGGGCAGTGATTGTCAGTATTATCGTTGTGTTTGTGGTTATGATGGGATGTATAGGGCAGTGATTGTCAGTGTTATCGTTGTGTTTGTGGTTATGATGGGATGTATCGGGCAGTGATTGTCAGTGTTATCGTTGTGTTTGTGGTTATGATGGGATGTATAGGGCAGTGATTGTCAGTGTTATCGTTGTGTTTGTGGTTATGATGGGATGTATAGGGCAGTGATTGTCAGTGTTATCGTTGTGTTTGTGGTTATGATGGGATGTATAGGGCAGTGATTGTCAGTGTTATCGTTGTGTTTGTGGTTATGATGGGATGTATAGGGCAGTGATTGTCAGTGTTATCGTTGTGTTTGTGGTAATGGGATGTATCGGGCAGTGATTGTCAGTGTTATCATTGGTTTGTGGTTATGATGGGATGTATCGGGCAGTGATTGTCAGTGTTATCATTGTGTTTGTGTTTATGATGGGGTGTATTGGGCAGTGATTGTTCCAAGCCAATTTGTTCTAGGTCTCGTCCCGCTCTCAGAAATAGTACTATCTGTAACGAACGGTCGAGAAGAGATCAGAATATGAACAGTAAAGTAACCATTGTTGAGTACTAAATATGTTTAAATAAAATAAGGTCTAAGCTTCGGATTTTTTTTTAAATTTGTTACTTATATATGGTTGTGTGTAATATACATCATTATGTGTATGTGTGTGTGCGTGTGTGTATGTATGTACGGGTTTGTATTTATGTGTGCGCGTGTGCATGTGTGTGTGCTTGTGTGTGTATGTGTTTGTGTGTGTGTGTGTATCTATGTACGGGTTTGTATTTCTGTGTGTGAACGTGTGTATGTATGTGCGTGTGTGCGTGTGTGTGTGTGCGTGGGTGTATCTGTTTGTGTATGTGTGTGTGTGTGCGTGTGTATGCGTGTATGTATGTGTGTGTATGTGTGTGTGCGCGTGTGTGTGTGTGCGTGTATGTGTGTGTATGTGTGTGTGCATGTATGTGTGTGTATGTGTTCAAGAAAGTGTGGGGCAGACAGAACGGTGGCAGCAGACGACAATGTGATGGTACCTGACACCATCCAGCGAGGAGGCCGAGAGAACAACAAGCGCTGGCTACATGTTGCGCACAAATCTGTGAGGACCAACCTGAGCCGGCCATTCACCTGTCAGACGACGTCACATAAATTACCAGCCGTGTAGACTTCCTTTGGGAAAGTGACTTCTGTAGCCTCAGTTTACCTGGTCAACTTGGAGCGGCCTAAAAACTCTTCTACACTTGTGTTCACGGAACAAATAGATTTTGTTTGTTGGATGCTCCTCTCTTCAAGTAAGATAGACGTTGGTAGTCTCGTGTTGTTTTCATATTATATATACATATATATATATATATATATATATATATATATATATATATATATATATATATATCAGTACTAGCTCTAACACTTTAATTACAGTCACATTTAACGTTCGTATTTTCAGTAAAATTATCTCCCTTTATCGTTGAATGAATCGAGAGTTTAAATTTGAAGTTTTTAAAGCTTAAAACCTCGTCTGTCTAACTGTGTGCCGTGAGATTGAGGGCTTGTGTACCAACAGATCTGTCCCAATACTTGAAAGTAACGAAAGGGAGCTAATTAGGTTAGCAGGAAACAATTATTTTTAACAGGCGTTGGACGTAAAATACCTTTGCTAACTTTATAGTTGAACAGGTAAATGCGGATACATGTATGAAAGGCCCGCCTGTCTCCCCCACTGTTTCCTATACAGGTCTAGGAAAATGTTCCATTTTTAGATTCAAGGTTGATTAATGACAGGTCATATTCTACAGATTTTATTCTTTCTCTGGGCTTGACTCAATGTAGGGCACTGTGTAAGGGGCGTATTGTGAGCCTATGTTTATATGGGCTGTTCGATTATTTCCGTGGGCTTGTTTCAAAACCCGTCTTCGTGTAACATTCTATCAAGTTTTCTTTAATTTAAATAATTATAAAACTTATTTTAAACTAGATCTGCTGATCTACTTAATGAAGCTTTAACACGGCCTCGAGTGGGGATCATTTCTGTGATTCAAAAAAAAAATTGGAACGGTACTCAAATTATAAAAGTACCATTTCCGGATATCGGAAGTCACTCAAACAAAAGTTATCATATATATATATATATATATATATATATATATTGAGGTATATAGGGGTATATATATATATATATATATATATATATATATATATATATTGAGGTATATAGGGGTATATATATATATATATATATATATATATATATATATATATATATATATATATATATATATATATATATATATATATATTGAGGTATATAGGGGTATATATATATATATATATATATATATATATATATATATATATATATATATATATATATATATATATATATATATGTGTGTGTGTGTGTGTGTGTGTGTGTGTGTGTGAAATGTTATCAACTTTACTGAAACGGTACTCAAGTTATGATGTTAACACACGCGCACTCACACACAAACACGCGTAGCACCTACACAGAGAGACGGGCTTACAGAGAAAATAGAAAAACTAGTTTTTGAGACTCAGAATTAGCACGATTACAAAAATGCCTCTGTATGCCTACTCCATATACCAGACAATAACAATAAGATTTTCTCAGAGGAATGCATTTTACTATTTAAATTTAAAAGTATGTTTCATTTTTAGCGCAATTTCCATACTGGGGGATTTCGATTATTAACTCGTCATTTCTGGATGGATGGATGGATGTGTGTCCGCAGCTTTAAGTCGTTTCTCCTCCTCAACGAAGCAGTATCAAGGACTAGTTCCAAAGCAAATATGTTAAGCAAGTTCCGAGGATGAACATAGGCCAAAAAAATTTCCGGAATTCCTTCCTGGATTTCCCTGAAAAGCCAAAAAACCTCGAAAAAATGCAGTTTTTGGCCCATATCTCGGCAACCAGACCACTTAGCGACTTGAAACATTTACCAATCGATTCCTGCCATAATTTAGAACAATATTGCCGAAGAAAGTTTTCAAAAATATCCTTTCGTTTGGTCACAACAAAATTTTTAAAATTACATAAACACCTACAAACCGATCGTTCTCCTAGCTTGAACGCACCCAGCATTATACGTCTTTGTGATCACTACCTATTTTTAGATAACATAAGGAAATTGCGCTTAAATTGTCACTAGACTTTTTATTAACTTGTTTTATTATGGTAAGTTTTATATACTTTTTTACTTGCATCGAAACACAGCAAATATTCCCATGTTCTAAATTAAAATTGTAAAAGGATACGAATTAAACACTAAAATCCGTTTTTTAAATATCTTTTATTAGGCACTGTCAAACTAGTCCTATATAGTGAATAATATAGGCTGTATTCTATGTTCAAAAATATAGACCCTTGCACTTTCTTTTTTAATATACATATATATATATGTATATATATATATATATATATATATATATATATATATATATATATATATATATATATATAATACGCTGAAGACTCTTAAATATTGTGCGAAGAATGAAATATTACAATGGGGGCAATTGTTTAGGACTACTAAAGTTCTTTGGCCTATTTTAGCCTCTGCGTGAAAGCAAGTTCTAATTACCAACATCTATGCACAAGTAATCCTTCAAGTTTCTGTATTTGTCCGGGACAAATTGTCATTACACATCGATAGAGGGAGCGGAACTACCGTGTCCTTATCCCCCCCCCCCCCCCCCCCCCAATGTGTGTTTCTTCATGCTGTAAGCAAGTTATTCACTTACGTTTATAAAACTCGAAGTGGGCCGCTCAGATTAAAGTTTTCATTAGAAGAAATGAGCGTCAGAAAGTACAATGGCGTCTACGCTGAGTGCTGAAGGTGCTTCTTGGTACGAACTAATTTATGTCTTGGCAAACTAGTTTGGTTTCTTTGTTTTACGTCGTCAGTCCAGAAAGATTTTAGATATTGCATGTTATACTGCAGGAATATAAGCTTTGTCCTACATAATTGGTTACATAATCATTGGCAGTCACAACAAACCAGACAATAAGTTAATCATTACCTGTTGATTTTTTTTTTTTTTTTGCTATTGCTTTTTTGTATGTTTGTTTGCTGGTTTGTTTGTTTTGTGTGTGTGTGTGTGGGAGAGAGAGAGAGAGAGGAGAGAGAGAGTATGTGTGTGTGTGTGTTAGCTTAATAACATCGCATTCGGCCTTTAACGTTAGGATGTAAAAGAAGAAATGTAAATATTATTTAAGTGCCGTCTTGTTGAGGCTTAGCGTTGAAGGGGGAGGGGAATTATATAAAGAAAATAAAAGTTTTGAAATTAGCATTACTTTTTTGCGTAATGGAATAATTAGCTTATTAGATGAAAGCTGTGTAGATTCTGGGGTTATGCTATGCTATAGCGAAAAAGGTTATTGTGAGATTGTAATATCCCCTTGAAAGCACGGTACAAGCAGCTTTCTTTCAAACTAAGCCTAGCTCAAACAAGTCACTAAAACTCAGTCTGTTGTTTTTTTTTTGTTTGTTTTTTTACATTTAATAAGTAAATAGTTTAAATTAGTAAATAGGTATTCATTGATGTTATATGTTGATGGATATTTATTCTTACATTTTGCTACATTCCCACAATTTTATTAAAAAAATTAAAATTTTAAACCTAAAAATTAAATAGAAACTAAAATTTATGTTCAACATTCCAAAAGCCCTGTCATAACACAAGACTGTGATTAGGTAGACAACACAGAAGCACGCTATAGAATGTTGAATTATTACTTTGTAGCGTGGTCTACCACCGATGGTATTATTATCTGATACATGAAGACAATGTGAAGCTACGAGCACAAAGGTGGGTCTAGCTGCCACTGAGCGCTACATGTCTCAAACATTTCACTGTAAAAATATTTGACCAACATTTCTGGAATTTCCTTTTTTTTAACAAGCCTTAGTTACATAGAACAATTTAATACATCAATATCAAAAGCATTTCATGATAATATAGTATGTGAGAAACTATATAAATATGAGAATATAGCCCCCATCATATAGGCCTACTACATGTACATGTGAATAACTTTTGAGAGTGATAAGTGCCGTTCTATGTACAGCGATCTCAGTATAGTAACAGTTACAGTAAGCTAGGGAGCCCATCCTTACATACTGACTCTCAATGGAACTAGGACTGTTAATGGAGCAGGTAGAGTTTGTGGTGGCAGTAGAGTTTATGTAATAGGCAGAAGAGTTTATTTAGTAGGCGGAAGAGTTTGTGTAGTAGGCGGAAGAGTTTGTGTAGTTGGCGGAAGAGTTTGTGTAGTAGGCGGAAGAGTTAGTGTAGTGGGCGGAAGAGTTTGTGTAGTAGGCGGAAGAGTTTGTGTAGTAGGCGGAAGAGTTTATGTAGTAGGTGGAAGAGTTTGTGTAGTAGGCGGAAGTTTGTGTAGTAGGCGGAAGAGTTTGTGTAGTAGGCGGAAGAGTTTATGTAGTAGGCGGAAGAGTTTGTGTAGTAGGCGGAAGAGTTTGTGTAGTAGACGGAAGAGTTTGTGTAGTAGGCGGAAGAGTTTGTGTAGTAGGCGGAAGAGTTTATGTAGTAGGTGGAAGAGTTTGTGTAGTAGGCGGAAGTTTGTGTAGTAGGCGGAAGAGTTTGTGTAGTAGGCGGAAGAGTTTGTGTAGTAGGCGGAAGAGTTTATGTAGTAGGCGGAAGAGTTTATGTAGTAGGCGGAAGAGTTTATGTAGTAGGCGGAAGAGTTTGTGTAGTAGGCGGAAGAGTTTATGTAGTAGGCAGAAGAGTTTGTGTAGTAGGCGGAAGAGTTTATGTAATAGGCAGATTTTTTTTTTCTGAACAGTGAGATTTTTTGTGAAATAAACATAAACTGTTTTTATTGCAGACACATTTTTGTAGTACACAGAAAGATCTAGACAGAAAGTGGTGTCTAGTACCTAGAATGGTCTTGCTAAACAAAAAGATGTGTGTAATAGACCGATGAGTTGGTGCAGTTTTTGTAGTTTGTGTGGAGCGCCTAGCACAACACGTCACGTAGAGTCCAGTGTTGACCAGCAGGCAGATAACTAGACAGTTGTATGTGGGGGGGGGGGGGGGCAGGATATAGTGGCGTTCTAGAGATTTTCAGGGGGTTGCTACTCCACAACCCCCATTTCTACAATTAACATATACCAATATATCTGTAATCATGTGTGAGAGAAGAACACTAGTTGTTGCCCTTACTTGAACCCAGGACAAAGTAGTAGTTATCGTACTTGTTATAGTTATTCATTTTAATGTAAATGTTCTAATATAACCTTTCGTAGTTTATTATGTGTATGGTTGTGAGAGGTTTATGAGGGGGATGTGGGAGGTGGCTTATGAGAAAGCTACATAACGTTACAGATTTATGTGGTGGGATAGTGGTTTTCTATGAAATTATGTGTTCGTTCACTTCATTTTTCTATAAAATTTGTCAAATTTTAAAAAAAGGTTTTGTAAACAACCATTATTTAGTTTAATAAAACTGTATGAATCAGTAGCGGAGCGAGGGGGGGGGGGGGGCGGAGGGGGACATATGTCCCCGGGCGCCGACCATAGGGGGCGCCAAAATGGGTTGGAAAAATAAATTGAAAGGTTGAGGGGGGGGGGGTGCAAATCGAAAGTGTGAGGGGGGGTGCAAATCGAAATCTCGAGGGAGGGGGGGTGCAAATCGAAATCTTGAGGGGAGGGGTGCAAATCGAAAAGTTTGTCCCCGGGCGCCGGGATGGGTCGCTACGCCTCTGGTATGAATAAACTGAAGACGATTAGTTCGGGATCTAGCCACACTCGTTTGTGTGGATCTAGCGACACTCTTTGTGTGGATCTAGCGACACTCTTTGTGTGGATCTAGCGACACTCTTGTTTGGGTGGATCTAGCGACACTCTTTGTGTGGATCTAGCGACACTCTTTGTGTGGATCTAGCGACACTCTTTGTGTGGATCTAGCGACACTCTTTGGGTGGATCTAGCGACACTCTTGTTTGGGTGGATCTAGCAACACTCTTTGGGTGGATCTAGCGACACTCTTTGTGTGGATCTAGCGACACTCTTTGTGTGGATCTAGCGACACTCTTTGTGTGGATCTAGCGACACTCTTTGTGTGGATCTAGCGACACTCTTTGTGTGGATCTAGCGACACTCTTTGGGTGGATCTAGCGACACTCTTTGGGTGGATCTAGCGACACTCTTTGGGTGGATCTAGCAACACTCTTTGTGTGGATCTAGCGACACTCTTTGTGTGGATCTAGCGACACTCTTTGGGTGGATCTAGCGACACTCTTTGGGTGGATCTAGCGACACTCTTTGGATGGATCTAGCGACACTCTTTGGGTGGATCTAGCAACACTCTTTGGGTGGATCTAGCGACACTCTTTGGGTGGATCTAGCGACACTCTTTGGGTGGATCTAGCGACACTCTTTGTGTGGATCTAGCGACACTCTTTGTGTGGATCTAGCAACACTCTTTGGATGGATCTAGCGACACTCTTTGGGTGGATCTAGCGACACTCTTTGTGTGGATCTAGCGACACTCTTTGTGTGGATCTAGCGACACTCTTTGTGTGGATCTAGCGACACTCTTTGGGTGGATCTAGCGACACTCTTTGTGTGGATCTAGCGACACTCTTTGGGTGGATCTAGCGACACTCTTTGTGTGGATCTAGCGACACTCTTTGTGTGGATCTAGCGACACTCTTTGTGTGGATCTAGCGACACTCTTGTTTGTGTGGATCTAGCGACACTCTTTGGGTGGATCTAGCGACACTCTTTGGGTGGATCTAGCGACACTCTTTGTGTGGATCTAGCGACACTCTTTGGGTGGATCTAGCGACACTCTTTGTGTGGATCTAGCGACACTCTTGTTTGTGTGGATCTAGCGACACTCTTGTTTGGGTGGATCTAGCGACACTCTTTGGGTGGATCTAGCAACACTCTTTGTGTGGATCTAGCGACACTCTTTGGGTGGATCTAGCGACACTCTTTGTGTGGATCTAGCGACACTCTTTGTGTGGATCTAGCGACACTCTTTGTGTGGATCTAGCGACACTCTTTGTGTGGATCTAGCGACACTCTTTGTGTGGATCTAGCGACACTCTTTGGGTGGATCTAGCGACACTCTTGTTTGGGTGGATCTAGCAACACTCTTTGGGTGGATCTAGCAACACTCTTTGTGTGGATCTAGCGACACTCTTTGTGTGGATCTAGCGACACTCTTTGGGTGGATCTAGCGACACTCTTTGGGTGGATCTAGCGACACTCTTTGGATGGATCTAGCGACACTCTTTGGGTGGATCTAGCAACACTCTTTGGGTGGATCTAGCGACACTCTTTGGGTGGATCTAGCGACACTCTTTGGGTGGATCTAGCGACACTCTTTGTGTGGATCTAGCAACACTCTTGTTTTGGTGGATCTAGCGACACTCTTTGTGTGGATCTAGCGACACTCTTTGGGTGGATATAGCGACACTCTTTGTGTGGATCTAGCGACACTCTTTGTGTGGATCTAGCAACACTCTTTGGATGGATCTAGCGACACTCTTTGGGTGGATCTAGCGACACTCTTTGTGTGGATCTAGCGACACTCTTTGTGTGGATCTAGCGACACTCTTTGTGTGGATCTAGCGACACTCTTTGGGTGGATCTAGCGACACTCTTTGTGTGGATCTAGCGACACTCTTTGGGTGGATCTAGCGACACTCTTTGTGTGGATCTAGCGACACTCTTTGTGTGGATCTAGCGACACTCTTTGTGTGGATCTAGCGACACTCTTGTTTGTGTGGATCTAGCGACACTCTTTGGGTGGATCTAGCGACACTCTTGTTTGGGTGGATCTAGCGACACTCTTTGGGTGGATCTAGCAACACTCTTTGTGTGGATCTAGCGACACTCTTTGGGTGGATCTAGCGACACTCTTTGTGTGGATCTAGCGACACTCTTTGTGTGGATCTAGCGACACTCTTTGTGTGGATCTAGCGACACTCTTTGGGTGGATCTAGCGACACTCTTTGAGTGGATCTAGCAGCACTCTTTGGGTGGATCTAGCCACACTCTTCGGGTGGATCTAGCGACACTCTTTGTGTGGATCTAGCGACACTCTTTGGGTGGATCTAGCGACACTCTTGTTAGCCTACAACTTTGGCCGTGACATGGAACTTATCAACTTATAAGCACACAAACACATTATATTTCGTATCAAACAATCATGCACTGCTAAGGATTAGCGTTGAATTAAGGTCGACTTTGGAAAACCGGTTGGGAAGCGCTTCGACATTGTGATGCTAGACATGTTAGCTACCGCTTTTTCTCATTTGTGGGATTATAATAGTTTGCCTATTTTTTTTTATTTATATTTATGCAATGGCAGTCTACTAATTATTGCTTTTATTAGATGTGTGCCTTCAGCGAAAACAATCATTATAAACAGACGTAAGTCTTCTTGACACTGATAAATTAACTGTAGATCTAGTTTCTGTTGTCATCCTCTAAAAAATTAAGCCTTAAACTCGTGCTTTTTTATGCGTTTGATAGTCGGTCTATTTGAAATCAGCTAAGTATGCTATGATGAGCCCTAAGCGCCTTTAAAAAAAACAGCTAGAAGGGAAGGCTAGAAGCTATATTTGGAACCATAATTTAAATATACGTGACAAGGCGTTGCCACAAGTATACGACGTAAATCAAAACCTCGTTTAGAAAAGAATGATTTTTACACCGCGAAGACAACCGAATACATATTGGCTCAATCAGTACGTAGATCTATGTTAACTTAAATGTTATATTTTTTAAAAACAATAAACTAACAACAATCATGGAAATAAAAAAATGTTATAATTCATTGTTCTATTACAGGTCTAACGGGATAATCGATTTCATGGAGTTTTAATCGTGTGGTAATAACCAGGAACAGTAACTCTAACATCGAAAGAAAGAAATGGCGAAAGAAACAAGTACTAGCTTTGGTTACGAACAAACTTTGGTAAAAATAAACAATTGAACTTTGACAGTAGCAGTTTAACTTAAATAATAGATTATCTAGATCTAGGTCTATACTTAATACTAATAATTAATACTAGATCTATTACTATTAGTAATTACTATTACTCACTGAATACTGGTACTGTACACTAGTGTACACTGTACACTGTAAGTTAGGTAGTAGCATTGGATTAGAATTAGTGAGTTTTATACCTTATAAACCTGTTAGTTACATAGTGTTAAAGGTAAACATGACATAGATACTTCATTTGTATTTCTAGCTTAATTAGAAGCTGAGAAATCAATTTTTTTGTTAATTAATGAGGCGAGCAACACAAATATTGTAAATGGGAGATAACACATAAAGCAAAAAAACAAAAACAGCAAAATGATCTTAAAAAAATTGTATTTGGAAATATTATATCACAATTTATCACAAATAAAAGTTACAATAATATCAGCCCTGAAACAACACAGAAAATTTATTTACAGCTATAATAATTTGCTATTATTTTGCGCATAATTAAAAATTTAATACAAAATATTTCAAAATAGGGCCTAATTCTTTTAAAATTTAAATACTATCCAGTACATTCTATTGAGCTGATTAAAACAATTCAATAGCTGGGTGTTCCAACAAAAAATAATAAAATGAATAACTCACCACTAACATTAATCAAAACTGAGGTCACCTACTGCAAGATCCACAATTAGAGAATGTACATGAATCTCAGTCTTCTTATTCATAAACCTTCTGGAGTAATTGCAGTCCTTACCAGCCAAGTGCTGTCCCTCTAGGACTTTCTGCTCTGCTTCTGACTTCCTTCCCAGCCACTGAAGGTTTGAGTTCAGCTATGCCTCACCCTGAAATCCAGAAAACCCAGTGGTGTTAAGAGCTCCGCATCAGGAAGTCCATATATCCCAGCATCCTCACAGCATGGATCTTGTGGGCAGGAGCTGAGTCCATTTTAACATTTCCTCAGAAGGGTCAGAATAGCTACCAGTCAAGTAAGGGGATATCTGCCATTCCATAACATCCTGCGTAGACTGTATCAGCACAGACAGGACATATTGCAGGAGCCTTTTGTCCACCAACAGATACTGGTGAACCATATCAGCTGCTATCTTCTGTCCAAAAACCTCATCAGTCCGCTAGCAGCTATTGGGGTCGAGCTTCATCACTTGATCATTTCTGGGGCTGTCTGGAACAGCACGCTCTGCAAAATTCACAAGATATGTGAAGAAATTTGTAACTGAATTCTGTTAAAGAAAAAATTAATTTAAATAAATAATTGACATGTTTTTGAACATTTTATGATTCTATTACAAGGGAAAAATGTTCTTCTGCATAGTTATTCACTTTTCTGCTTCAATCTTCAACTATTTATTAAAGTACTGAGGTTTTGAAATAAGTATATATTTCACTATATATTATCTATTACGGAAACAAGATGGCAGCCAAAAAAGCTGCCATACTGAGTTAAGAAAAATATTAATTTAGATAAATTGCTGACTTCTTTTTTAACATTTTATGATTCTATTACAAGGGGAAAAGGTTCTTCTGTATAGTTATTCACTTTTCAGCTTCAATCTTCAACTATTTATTAAAGCACTGAGGTTTTGAAAGGAGTGTATATTTTACTATATATTATCTATTACGGAAACAAGATGGCAGCCAAAAAAGCTGCCTTACTGAGTTAGGGAAAAAATTAATTTAGGTAAATTGCTGACTTCTTTTTGAACATTTTATGATTCTATTACAAATGAAAAAGGTTCTTCTGTATAGTTATTCACTTTTCAGCTTCAATCTTTAATATAATAATAATAATTATAATAGGTTCAAACTTACCTATTTTTCACTTGAAGTTTTCTTGGTAAAAAAAAACACAGAAAAACGAAAATTTTACTTCATTACAGAGCTGATCTTCTTCTGTTCAAAAAACGTGGTAGAAATGAGAGGAAACAGTAGAGTACTAATTTATTGTCAAAAAACCAGAGAGTACCCCCAATTTTTTTTTTAAAAACACAAAATTTTTTCATGGTGAGATTTTGGGGGTAGGTTGTCTTCCCCTGTCAGAAAAAAATACCCCCTACTGTAAGTGTACTCATATTATTATTAGATTTTGGGTAATCTATCGTTTAGGTACGTAAAATCGCCCGCAGCTAGTAATGTACGAAAAAGTTACCTCATTGTCAAGGCTTTAATAGAAGTATATTGTGATATATGTGGGTCAAATATTATAGAAAAATGAATAATAATAAACCTAAATCAATGTAAGGCAAGAAATTAACTTTAAACAGTAGTGTTTGCGAGCAGGATTTGCTATATAAAAAGCGGCCATCTGTAAGTTAGAGTGGCTTCCCCTGAATCTCGCGCTATAAGTTTATAAAAAAAAGCTTCAACAAGATGGCTGCTATAGTAAATGAGCAATGTTGCATCTGTTGGAAACATCGCTAGTTTTCATTTATTAGGCCTACTGAAAAGTTTTAATTCAATTGTTTAAAAACAGGTACATAAATGAAACAGGGAAACAGTTCTGTATTTTTCAAACATAAATCCTCCTCAAAACGTGAAATAATTATTAAAATTCAAGGAGTAACCTGTTTTTCACATTACTAGTCGCGGTCGATTTTACGTCCCTAAAACGATAGATTACTAGATTTTTGGTAATCTATCGTTTTAGGTACGTAAAATCACCCGCGGCTAGATCTAGTAATGTACGAAAAAGTTAAAAAGATACCTCATTGTCAAGGCTTTAATAGAAGTATATTGTGATATATTTATGTCAAATATTATAGATAAATGAATAATAAACCTAAATCAATGGCTAAATAATAGTAAATATATCAATATAGGCAAGAAATTAACTTTAAACAGCAGTGTTTGCGAGCAGGATTTGCTATATAAAAAGTGGCCATCTGTAAGTTGGGAGTGGCTTCCCCTGAATCTTGCACTATAAGTTAACAAAAAAAACCATAAACAAGATGGCTGATATAGTAAATGAGCATAGTTTCATTCGTTGGAAACATCGCTAGTCTTCATTTATTACTGAAAAGTTTTAATTCAATTGTTTAAAAACAGGTACAAAAATGAAACAAGGAAACATTTTTGTATTTTTCAAAACATAAATCCTCCTCAAAATGTGAAATAATTAACATTACTAGTCGTTGGCGATTGTACGTACCTAAAACGATAGATTACCTAGATTTTAGATCTAGAATCTAACTACTAGTACTAGTGACATCTCTCGTCATCTAGATCTAGTGTTTTAAGTGCTTTTTAAAGAGTTTTATAGACCTAATAAAAGTAATAAAATGTAGATCTATAATTCTATAGGCTTACAGACAATAATTAGGCCTAATTAATAATTATTAATTAATAATAATTATAATTAGTCATTATAATTAATATTAATCATTAGCCTAGGCCTAAATATTATAATTAAACATATTAACTACAAGTACGCCTAACTAGATCTAGATAACTAGATCTAGTAGCCTTGTCCAAACCATAACTTGCCATATCAAATTTATCTTTAGCGACTTTAGGCCTATTTTAGTTAGAATTATATAGATTAAGACTTAGAGGCCTCTAGTAGATTCTAGTCTTATTTTTTCAATCATTTCAGTATGTGAATATAATATAAGCCGCCAGTTTCATTTCGCACTTCGATCCTTCCATCATCGGTATGGACACTGCCGGTTCAGATTACGCCACGGGTGCCGGTTCAGATTACGCCACGGGTCTGATGGAGAAGAGAAATTTGGGCGGGCATCCGTGACAGCGTCGGCTCATATTTTTTTCCACCGTAGTTTAATTTTCATGAATAACTATATCCACACGAAAAGAAAATCTGCTGCTCACTGAACAAAAAAATCTATTTGTTTTGTCAACTTTTTGTTTTCGTATCTCTTGAAGAAATTAAATGTCTTGTGATTATAATATTATTTTCTTATGTGATGAAAGTACTGAATATAACAAAACTAAACAAACTATCGACTAAAAACTACTAAGAGTACCACATTCAGATCCGACTGAAATACCCATTTCTAATAATACTAATATTATAAATATAGGATTTATAAAATCAAGATAGCTAATTAAAATTTTCAATTGGTTTTTTAAAATAGAATTTTTAAAACAAACTTCATAATAATTAAACTCGCTCACAGAAAATAATTGTCCACCTGAATGATAAATTTCTTTTTTTTTTTAGCTGTATGGTAAATATACCCAAGAACTAAGCTCATTTGCTAAGTTTCAAGCTACACTCCCAAAACTACAGCCAGAAGAGTTGGAAGATGAAGAAAAATTGAAAAAGCCACATAAGTTGGATTTTATATGGAGATATTTAAGTAAGAAATAATGCATCTTTTTTTTAAGGCCTACCTTATTTAATGACTAAGTGTTTGTCATAGGAAACATTGCATATTGTTATAATGGGGCAAAGTAAGTACGATTCTTTTGAAACCTTTTTTTTTTTGCATTGCAGAAAGAGCTGCTGAAATTCGAGATGCCATTTTTCTTAAAATTGGAGAAGATTGGATTTTTTTACTGCTTCTAGGAGTTCTAAATGCCTTACTTAGTTTTGTAATGGACTTTGTCATAGAAAAGTGTCAAGAGGGTAAAGCTACTTTTTTTTTAAAGTTTTAAGTTGTAAAAAATTATGCACGATATTGCTCAGCTTATTTTATTTCTCCAGCTAAGTTCTGGCTGTATGATGAGCTCCAGTTTTCAGTAGGATTACAGTATTTAGCCTGGGTCTCATATTCTCTGCTGTTTATCCTGTTTGCTGTTGGATTTACTCACCTTGTATCTCCTCAAGCAATTGGTAAAATTTTACACCTGACTTTCCAAACCTCAGTTTTCTACTTCCACTGTAGTCACATCTTGTTACACGATTATGTTAGACTTTGTAAATGTAGCTAGCACCTCACTCATCAACTGTGTCACTGTTGTATGCTTAATAGACATAAAATTGTCTTCTAGCAGACAATTTCTGTAGTTCAAGATTAAATAGAATCACCATCAAATGATAATAAATAAATATCAATAGCCCTAGAGACTAGAGTGCATGTTAGGTTACATAAGGATAACAGTTAAAACACCTGTTTCAAATGTTAAAAAAATAATTATTATAATTTCTAAAAAAAAAACTATATAGGTTCTGGAATACCAGAAATGAAGACAATCTTAAGAGGAGTTGTTCTTAAAGAATACCTGACATTTAGAACATTGATAGCTAAAGTTGTTGGCCTTTGTTCATCTTTGGGTAGTACATTACCATTCGGAAAGGAGGTAAAATAACTCTTGTATTAAAACTAAACAGTATGATGTATAAAAAATGGGTGGTTCTTTCAATATGAGTTTTTGCTTATGTATCTTTTCGCTTATTGAACCACATTTGTAACAAATATCTGTCGTTGAAACTTCATTTTTTTTTACCTTTCAGTTGTTGTTTTTTTCAGTTTGACCTAGATTTGTTATCTTGCTATTGTGTAAATAGTGTTTATTGTGCATAACTTGACATAACCAGTTGTTGAAAAGTCTATTGTTGTCTATTTTACCTTTTGCTTTTGTTTAACTGTAAAACTTTAACATTAGATTAGTGGTTTCAACAATTTTGTAAATAATGTAGCTTTTAGTTAAAAGGCTTGGATTAACTGTTTAAAAATATCTGTTCATAAAACTGGTTGTTTTCTTCCCTCAGGAATTTTTTAAAATGAATGTATGTGTCTTCAGCTTCTAACGGTCAACATCTGCAATTAGTTTAAGCATTCACTCTTTCTTTAAATAAATTTAAAAGTTACTAAAATCTTTTCCTCCCTTTTAAACATTTCCTTTTTCATTTAGGGTCCATTTGTACACATTGCCAGTATAATGGCCACACTGCTAAGTAAAGCCATTGGGTCTTTTAGAGGCATATATGAGGTAAGATCTGTTTAATAGTACAGTCATGTTTATATTTTTTTTTATAATTAAGACAGCTTTGACCGTTATTTATGAAGAAGTAAACATTGAATAAGATGTATTGCTCCCCAGAATGAATCCAGGCGCTCAGAAATGTTGGCAGCTGCTTGTGCTGTTGGTGTTGCTGGAACATTTGCCTCACCTATAGGGGGTAAGTTTACCTTATTGCCAGTTGGTTTCTCTTAAGTCTTGCATTTGCCTCACTTAGAGCGGGTAAGTTTACTTTATTGCCAGTTAGTTTCTCTTAAGTCTTTCAAAGAAAGAAGTTTTTTTAAAGAAATAAATTGACTGTAATTTAATAATTTATTTAAAAATTGAAATTTTTTGTTTGTTTTCAAAGTGTTCATAATAGAAACATGTGTAAAACTCAGCTATGCTCTGAATCAAATAGTTTCATTCAGGCTGTTATAATCATGATTTACCAACCCTAGAGTATGTTGTGGGTGAAATCCACCCATATGGATCTACACTAAACCAAAACAAAAATTTATAAACACTGCTTAGGTTGTCTTTTATGGTTTTACTAGAGAGCTAGCACACAAACAACTTACTCATAGTAAGCATAAGAGTCATCCGTAAACAACATTACTCAAATGAGGAAGGGGTTTTATTGACTGCCTCAATTGGTAATGCACGGTTACAATGTTTTAATATTGTCTATAAAAATATTTTGAATGATACATTTAATAAATTTTGTTTTGAAATACAGGTGTTTTATTTAGCATAGAGGTAACTGCAACCTATTTTGCTGTTAGAAATTATTGGCGAGGATTTTTCTCTGCTGTCTGTGGTGCCTTAATGTTTAGACTAATGGCTTACTGGTTTAAAAATGAAGGTAAGATTGGATATATTATTGTGCCTACTTTGTTTAGATGTATACCTATCTTTTGTGAATAGTATTTCTGTGTACTGCAAGGGTACGAGAGTGTGTGTTGTCATCATCATAAAGGAATGCATACAACACTAATGGATTCATAGCAGACGAACAATCTTTACCTCATTTCAAAATATTTCTTTCCATGCCTAATTTTTTTTGTGTTCGGTATTTAAAACAAATAATTCTAAAATTATTTCATTAGCCTAATTTATAAAATTGTTACTGATAAAGAAACATACTGGATGTAGGTCAGATATAACTGATGACATAACACTAATGGAACAATGGTGTATGTACTTGCTGTTTAAGTGGTGAAAGCTTTCGTCTGTGTCTTTGTAAATAGTGAAATAAACCAAGGAATTAACAATTGCGACCCTGTTGAGTGATTTATATTGAATGTTGGATCATCATTTTGAGTGGTTTCATGTTGTCCTTCAGTGTCGACCCACGCTAACCTCGCACTATAACATGGTGGTGCAGCTTAAAAGAACTCAGTAGCCAGTCGACAGACAAATACCTCCACATTCTAACACAACATCACAGAAGACTGATCTCAACTATTTCCCCTAACAACCAAATCCTGCTCTCCAACGTCACATCTTTACATGCCTCGTCACACTTTCAGAATCTTTTATTAATAGAAATTAATCCACAACACACAGACTCTCATACCCATGCAGTACACTGAAATACCATTTACAACACTAACCTTTGTTTCCTGAATTATTTACTAAACAATAAGATCATTGTTTATTTAGTTGTTTGAGTATCCTATCACTTGTGTTACAGAAACATTAACTGCATTGTTCAAGACCTCTCTTAGGTCAGAGTTTCCCTTTGATGCATTTGAATTATTTGCCTTTGCTTCCATTGGGTAAGCCAATTGTTGCATGAGATTATTTTATTCAATATATAACAGTATTTTTTTATTGGACATGTACTAAATTCTGTATTTTGGTATATTTTTATTCTTTTAGTGTTGCATGTGGTTTTGGAGGTGCCTTGTTTATTCTAGCCCACCGAAGTGTTATCTTGTTTACAAGAAGACATAAAAAACTCTCACGTTTTTTACAAAAAAAGTAAGGACATTGACGTTGTATGTTTATTCCTAGGATTCTTTATTGCCCAATCAGCTGGATATTTTTATCTATTCAATTTTAATACACCTGATTCTTTTTAAATAACTTTTTTTTAACCAACAAACTAAAAATATTACTTGATTTTTCTAAGCGTTATGTTACCCCTTTTTCCTAAATTTGCTTTTTTTTTATAAGATAAATATGGCTTATGTAATGAATATGCAAGAACTGTTCAGGATATTTTTGTTTTGTGTGAATTCAATATGTTTTGTTTACATGTTAGAATTTTTAATGTTTACCAATAAGCCTAAGAATTCACATCACTGTATTTTCCAGTGTCCCTGACAACTTTTTAACCAAGGAATATCTTCTTAAAAGTCAAGAGTCATCTTACACAACCAGTTTTCATCAATATTAAACTCATTTATTCTAAACTCAAAATTTTAGTAGAAAATGTTGGGGAGTCATCTTATATACCTCAACGTCTAATAGGGCCTATGCCAGAAAATACAGTATTTATGAATAAATCAAGCTTAAATGTTATTATTCATTTTACTAAAAACAAATGCTAGAATTTGCTATTGTTTTTTTAACATAAGCCATTTGTTTCAGCCGTTTTATTTACCCAAGTGTTATAACATTTGTTATAGCATCTCTTACTTTCCCTCCTGGTCTAGGGCAGTTCTTTGCTGGAAAGGTTTGTTTACATTTTGTACATTTTTTATTTCAACTTTCAAAAATTGTACATTTTTTATTTCAACTTTCGAAAATTAGTTCATTTTTTCCCCCAAGAAAATGTGTAATTAATATTTCGATTTTTAAAATTTCTTTTACTATTTTTTTAATGAAGTTCTTTGCATTCCTTTTTAAGTTAAAAATGGAATTTCACTTTTTGAAACTTAGCTAACAGGGAAAATGGCAATTAAAGATCTGTTCAGTAACATCACATGGGCCACTGATCAGGCAGAAAATATGGATGATGAAGAGGTTCTTAGCCACTGGAAAAATCCCTTAACCAACATCTATGTGACTTTAGTTCTCCACATCATTATGAATGTAAGGCTTTTAAAATTCTCACCTAAACTTTATCTCATGTAGTTTAGTAATGTTGATCACAATTTTAATCTATAAAAACTCTTTTTTTTTTAATCAGTTTTCAATGACTGTCATGTCCAACACATTACCAATACCTGCTGGGGTGTTCGTTCCAGTTTTTACTATAGGTACAATAAAGTTGATATTTACATTTTAAAAACCTTAAATAGAACTCTGTGATTGTTCACATTTTTCCCATTATTACAAATATAGTTTAAATTTTGAAATCTTGTCTTATGTTTGAGCTGTCAATAATAACACATAGAAACTAGAGCTCTATCTTCCTTCACCCCAGGGGCAGCATTTGGCCGTCTGGTTGGTGAGAGCATGGCAGCCTGGTTCCCTGATGGCATCAAGTCTGGTGAGGTCATTAGAAAAATTGTTCCTGGTGGTTATGCTGTTGTTGGTAAGTCATTGCTATCTTTTATTATATATTGTAACTTATTTGACCTGCTCTGAAAAAAATAGAAAATTTGATCGTTATTACAAAAAATGATGTTTTTTTTTGTAGGTGCAGCTAGTCTATCAGGAAGTGTGACCCGTACAATATCAACAGCAGTTATTGTATTTGAAGTTACAGGGCAGATAAGTCATGTTCTGCCTGCAGTTGTAAGTGAACAGTAGTTTCCCTTGTTTAATTATACGTAGGCCTTTTTAAAGTTTTAAACATGTAAGCAAACAAATTTTTTTAAACATTGAAATGCTTTCTTCACATATTTCAGATATCTGTATTGATAGCTAATGCTATAGCCAACTTATTCCAGCCTTCTTTTTATGACAGCATAATTAAACTTAAAAAGTTGCCCTACTTGCCCGACATTATCTCTGCTAAATCAAAGTAAGTGTAGATCTTACATAGCTGCTATATCAAAGTAAGTGTAGATCTTACATAGCTGCTATATCAAAGTAAGTGTAGATCTTACATAGCTGCTGTATCAAAGTAAGTGTAGATCTTACATAGCTGCTGTATCAAAGTAAGTGTAGATCTTACATAGCTGCTATATCAAAGTAAGTTTAGATCTTACATAGCTGCTGTATCAAAGTAAGTGTAGATCTTACATAGCTGCTGTATCAAAGTAAGTGTAGATCTTACATAGCTGCTATATCAAAGTAAGTGTAGATCTTACATAGCTGCTGTATCAAAGTAAGTGTAGATCTTACATAGCTGCTATATCAAAGTAAGTGTAGATCTTACATAGCTGCTATATCACAGTAAGTGTAGATCTTACATAGCTGCTGTATCAAAGTAAGTGTAGATCTTACATAGCTGCTATATCAAAGTAAGTGTAGATCTTACATAGCTGCTGTATCAAAGTAAGTGTAGATCTTACATAGCTGCTATATCAAAGTAAGTGTAGATCTTACATAGCTGCTGTATCAAAGTAAGTGTAGATCTTACATAGCTGCTATATCAAAGTAAGTGTAGATCTTACATAGCTGCTTTAATAAAGTAAGTGTAGATCTTACATAGCTGCTTTAATAAAGTAAGTGTAGATCTTACATAGCTGCTATATCAAAGTAAGTGTAGATCTTACATAGCTGCTATATCACAGTAAGTGTAGATCTTACATAGCTGCTATATCAAAGTAAGTGTAGATCATACATAGATGCTATATCAAAGTAAGTGTAGATCTTACATAGCTGCTATATCAAAGTAAGTGTAGATCTTACATAGCTGCTGTATCAAAGTAAGTGTAGATCTTACATAGCTGCTGTATCAAAGTAAGTGTAGATCTTACATAGCTGCTGTATCAAAGTAAGTGTAGATCTTACATAGCTGCTGTATCAAAGTAAGTGTAGATCTTACATAGCTGCTGTATCAAAGTAAGTGTAGATCTTACATAGCTGCTATATCAAAGTAAGTGTAGATCTTACATAGCTGCTGTATCAAAGTAAGTGTAGATCTTACATAGCTGCTATATCAAAGTAAGTGTAGATCTTACATAGCTGCTGTATCAAAGTAAGTGTAGATCTTACATAGCTGCTATATCACAGTAAGTGTAGATCTTACATAGCTGCTATATCAAAGTAAGTGTAGATCATACATAGATGCTATATCAAAGTAAGTTTAGATCTTACATAGCTGCTATATCACAGTAAGTGTAGATCTTACATAGCTGCTATATCAAAGTAAGTGTAGATCTTACATAGCTGCTATATCAAAGTAAGTGTAGATCTTACATAGCTGCTATATCAAAGTAAGTGTAGATCTTACATAGCTGCTATATCACAGTAAGTGTAGATCTTACATAGCTGCTATATCAAAGTAAGTGTAGATCTTACATAGCTGCTATATCAAAGTAAGTGTAGATCTTACATAGCTGCTATATCAAAGTAAGTGTAGATCTTACATAGCTGCTGTATCAAAGTAAGTGTAGATCTTACATAGCTGCTATATCAAAGTAAGTGTAGATCTTACATAGCTGCTGTATTAAAGTAAGTGTAGATCTTACATAGCTGCTATATCAAAGTAAGTGTAGATCTTACATAGCTGCTGTATTAAAGTAAGTGTAGATCTTACATAGCTGCTATATCAAAGTAAGTGTAGATCTTACATAGCTGCTGTATCAAAGTAAGTGTAGATCTTACATAGCTGCTGTATCAAAGTAAGTGTAGATCTTACATAGCTGCTATATCACAGTAAGTGTAGATCTTACATAGCTGCTATATCAAAGTAAGTGTAGATCATACATAGATGCTATATCAAAGTAAGTGTAGATCTTACATAGCTGCTATATCAAAGTAAGTGTAGATCTTACATAGCTGCTGTATCAAAGTAAGTGTAGATCTTACATAGCTGCTATATCAAAGTAAGTGTAGATCTTACATAGCTGCTATATCACAGTAAGTGTAGATCTTACATAGCTGCTATATCAAAGTAAGTGTAGATCATACATAGATGCTATATCAAAGTAAGTGTAGATCTTATATAGCTGCTATATCACAGTAAGTGTAGATCTTACATAGCTGCTATATCACAGTAAGTGTAGATCTTACATAGCTGCTATATCACAGTAAGTGTATATCTTACATAGCTGCTGTATCAAAGTAAGTGTAGATCTTACATAGCTGCTATATCAAAGTAAGTGTAGATCTTACATAGATGCTGTATCAAAGTAAGAGCTAATCTCAAATATCTGCACTGATCTGGCAGCTACTGTAAAGTCTTGATGTGGCAAGAGTTACTCAGGAGTCCTCACAAAAGGACCAGCATACAGGCTGTCTTCCTTAGCCTTGACCTTCCCATCTTCCCATTGTTACATCAGTCTGTATTAAAGTCAGTGTAATTGTTAAAAATGAACAGTTATTTAACCACAAGAAATTGAACAAACACAATTTTCTATGTCCATTTTAGTGCGTGGTTGCTGTATGTGGAAGACTTCATGGTCAAGGATGTGAAGTTTATTGCTTTTGATGCCACATATAATGATCTACAAAGTCTCATCTTAGAAACAAAACACAGATCATATCCATTAGTTGATGCCAAAGGTAAGTAGCATTTTGTTGTCTACATCAAATAAACTTTGACTTAAATGCTAAGACCCACCCTGACTTGACAACATTCAAATTGCTTCCAGGGTCTATAATCTTCTAATCAAACTACCTTTCAGATTCAATGATCTTACTTGGTTCTATTCAACGCTTTGAGTTAGAGCGAATCCTTCTTATCCGCCTGAGTCAGGATCAAAAGATTTTGTGGAGTTTTGACCACCGTGTTCAGCCTCCTCAGCCCAAACTTCCTATTCCAACACTGACCATAACCCCTGACAGTGAGGGAGGCGCCCCAGCAGGGGATGGTCCAGATAAAGGTGGGCCAGCAAGGAGGTTTCAGGTGACAAGAGTGGAGGAGGAGGAAGTGGGAGGGCAGGAAACAAACCAAGCCAGCAACAACATACCACTACAGATATTGCAAGTAAGAGCAAGTGGACTTGTTGCTTTATGTTGTGGCTTTTTATTTTAATATTTTGATCTTAAATAATGTAAAACATCTACTTGAACAACAAGATAAATTGAAATACAAACTTAGGTTTAACAATAGGAATAATTTTTTTTAAATAGTGGATTGAGTCAAAAATAAAACTGATTTCTTTTTTTTTTTAATCATCAGTTTGCATTAAATATTAGTTTTTAAGGTTTTGTGGGGTTTTTTTAATAGTTTTTTTTTAATGTCTAATTTGTATTTCCACTAAGCCACCAAGAATAGATTATCATGGGACAAAAGACAGCCAAAACAACTACCACACAGTACATGCCCCTCTGAGATCTATACTTAAAAAATCTGCGTCGGGATCAACACTTGAGAGGGCCCATAGCACAGGAGATCTGAGAGGTGAATTGAGAACTGATTCATGTCTAAATTTACAATACTATACAGTTTTTTTTATTTTTGTGTTTGTGTTGTTATTAAAACTAATCAATGATTGATTTTTTAAATACTTTCTGGGGTTGAGGGATAACACTAATTGTATTAAAATATCCTACATCATTTTGTAAAAATAAAATTTCTGATCAACAGAGGAAATGACAAACTTTTATCGCAAACTACAAAAGCAGAGAAAAGAAAGTATTCTAGAGGATAGACCTTACACACTAGATGTAAGCACATTGTATAGTTATAGATATTTAGATATACCGATATATTTATGTAAAAATATATATGTATATACAAGGGTGGTCTGAAAAGTTTCCGTCCTCAACAATGTGTTTATGCATGCATTGTATACCACTCACAGAAACTTGTGCCAGGTTATATGAGCAGTTATTGTTACACAGTTGTTTAAGTGAGACAAACTAGTCAAAAGTACATGTATGTAGGATAAGGATAGAGAGCTAGTGGAGTCAATAAACACTTCAAAAGAATGTGTATATTGGATAAGGTTAGATAGCTAGTGGAGTCTATGAATACTTCCAAAGAATGTGTATATTAAGGTTAGATAGCTAGTGGAGTCAATGAACACTTCCAAAGAATGTGTATGTAGGATAAGGATAGAGAGCTAGTGGAGTCAACGAACACTTCTAAAGAATAAGCATGTTTGGATATTAAAATAAGCTGGGTGCTGCGCCTGCTCACTACAAACCAAAAGTATGTTGGACTTAACATTTGCACTGCTCTGTTTGACATGTTTAGAGGTGGGAGCATTGATCTAAAAGAAGATTTAAGTCAAAAAATTAAAATAATTTTAAAAGAAAAAGACATTGTTTCATTGTTAGGGCTGAATCGTTTCAGACTATCCTTGTAATATATTTATTATATATATATATATATATATATATATATTACATTTACATACATATGTAAAAATTCATATATAGTCATGTATTTTTTCTATTAACATTATTTTATACAGTATTTAAAAATAAGTGAATTTAAATTCCTTTTCAAACCTGTTGTCTTAAAAATTATCACAAATTTTGTAATTATTGTATTTCTGCTATTCAACATTATTTCATGAATATAGAAAGGGAGTTTGACAAGCCTGTACAAGAAAGTAAAACTAGTAAGTTTATAGTAACAGTCTGTAATTAGTGAAAAATAAAAATTTATTATAAGTAGAGTGTTGCATCTAAATTTCATGATTTTCTTCTATTAAATTAGTACAAAATATTATTAACCCATGTAGACGTGATTCTTTGAATTATTTTAGACAGGTGAACCAAAGCCCACAAAGATCAGAAACTTGCCACTAGAAGATGTGAGTGGTTCTCATCTTTAACATTTTTCAACATTTAAATTATTTAGTTCAAGTGTTATATTTTAATTGATTTCCTGTTGTCTATGTTGTGTGTAGCAAATAGCATGGGAACAAGAGCAACTTCAGCAAACTATTGATTGGGAGGGTGTGCAAATTGATCCTGCTCCATTTCAACTGGTTGAGAGGACATCATTACATAAGGTCAATATTTGAAATAACTTGTTATCACATGCTACAAATAGAATGATATAAAACAGTACTAAGTGAAACATTGATTTGCCTTTTTAAAAATGTATTTCACATTAAGTATATTTATTAGTATTGTCACTGGAGTTCCATTAAAATTTGAATGTATTGCAATTATTTATTGCCAATAGCTTTGTTATTGAAACAAATAGGCAGAGTGTGGAAGAGGAATAATGTCTTCAAATTAATTAAAAAGATGTTGGGTGCATCAGTGTTGTCTATATCCCATACCTCATATTTTAACAGTAAAAGTTGGTCATCTTATTCACCAGAATGTGTGTGTATATATATATATATATATATATATATATATATATATATATATATATATATATATATATATATATATATATATATATATATATATATATATATATATATATTTGTGTGTGTGTGTGTAAAATTATTTTTCTTTAGCATTTTTATTATTCTATACATTATAAAATATGTTGCAAAAACAATTGACGTACATAATTTTCTTCTTCTAGGTCCATTCTCTATTTTCATTGCTTGGTTTGAGCCACGCCTTTGTGACAAATACTGGTCGCCTAGTTGGGGTGGTAGGATTAAAAGAGGTATTCAATCAAAATATTCAATGCTACTATATTTGAATTTGTCCATTACAGTATTGTATGGTTTATTGAGTTTTGAGTCCAATTAGTACTAATTTCTTTGATTAAAGATGGTATTTTGTTTTTAAGTTCCCTTAAATTTTAAATTACATCAAAATGTACCAGCATTTCTATAAGATTTCTTTAAAATATTTTAGTTTAATCAGTATTCCTAGATTTTTTAGTTGAAAGTCTTGGTTAATTAGAATTGCTTCCAAAGACATTTCAACAATGTTTTCAATGTTTTGGTTCTGTTTACTTGTAGCTGAGGGTGGCTATTCAAGGTCAGATAGAATTACAAGCTAATGGCAAGACAAAAGTTGATGACACTGCAGTTCGTGCCGAAATTGAAGCAAGCGCAGATGAAGAGCAAGCTCCAATTGATGATGCTAATCTTGAAGTTGTCAAGGAACCTACTGGAGCCTTATACAGAATACATAGCCTTAATGCCAGGAATAGAGAAAAAGATACTCAAGCCTAGTTAGACTGTTGTTCTTGATCTGTTTTAATGTTAGTCATTTTTTCATCTGGTCATCCTATTTTATACTTGTTAGCAATTTGAAAGATTATTATCAATAGTACATGAAAAAGTCATTTCATTTACTAAAGTGTGGTTTCAATTATATGTAAGTTATTTTTCTAATCTTGAAAATTTACTGTATTAACTATTAAGGAAAAAGTAGTATTAGCTTTAATTATAATCTAATGTTTTCATCAAATGAAGTGACCAATATGATTTTTTATTTCAATAATGTCATTTCCGCAAGCATTACAATATTAATTGTACAGGATAATGTTTTATTGGGTGCTAACTGTAATCAGAATGGTTTATTATATATACTCTGCTGATATTTAACATTCCTGTAGTTTGAACTGTACAATATTGTTAAAAATTTTCTTGGTTTTTTTTTTTGTGATATTAACATAGTGCCTTATGTTGTGCATTTTAATTGATTGATTTTTTATGTTAAACTTAGCTTCATCTTTTTTTTATGGTGGCCTTTTGGTCACAACAACATTTAGTAAGCAAAAGCTAAAGAAAATAATTTTTTTATCATGATGAAAAACATTTTGTTTTTAACTTTTTGCACTAGTCGAATTGAATAGATCTGTGCTTTACAAACTCATTTATTACAAACCAAATAGTCACAATGTCATTTGTTGGTTGAATCAATTAGAGAAAAAATGCTCATAATCTGGAGAAAACTTTTTTTTCCTCAACTTATAAAATTTTATAATATTAAAAACAAATGTTGACTATAAAATATACTCTTATCATATTTTACATTTGTTCTCTAGACCTAACTTAAACTGTTTGAAAACAAAACCATTTATTTTTGTTAAAAGGAAGTAACATTACGATACATTGAATCATAGTTATCTACAAGTTTTTCCACAAATTTAATGGCCAGTACTGACTCTGATTGAGTGTTAATTTTGTTAGTGTATCTCTAGCCACTTGTGTTCATGTCTTCCTAATACAATTCTTTGTTGCAAATTTCTCCTCGATTTCACCATGAAAAACTGTTGTTGGAATCTACTTAACTTCTGGTACTTATTGTTACACCCAAGGCATCTTTCTGCTTGTATTGCCCCCCTTATCAGTGATAATGGCAGTTAAAAAATCTTGGTTTTTTACTGTAATGTCCTGACTGCATTATTACTAGAACCAAATTTTTGTATTACTTCCATACAAACGTGTTGTCAAAACAAAACTAATGTTGTGTTAGAACATTCCGCTTGGATGGATATGTATATTTATCTTGTTTTTGTATTGGTTTATACCACTTGACTCTACCTTGGGACTTCTGTATCAAAAAGGCTGAAATTTGTGCCGTGTTGGGGATTAAGGTGATTAATCCACAAAACTTTCTTCTAGTCATACTAGGTAGAGTGTAATAAAACCCTTAAATTATCCTACTGTTTATTTTATGAAAGCTCTAAATATGTTTTCTAATGTGTGTACAATCATTTTATATAAGGGTATACAACATTGATCATGTACATACTTGTTTTGACATATGCAACAATACAAAGTTTGTTTTATTTGAAGCTTTAAATACAATTGTAGCTTGAATGATAAACATTTTCATTGTTACACAAACCAAAATGTATTATTTTATTATACAGAAGCAATGACTGAAAAATCATTTTTATGTTCTATTTCTAAAACATTTATAGATTTTTCTCTTTTCGTTACTATTAACTAGATTTTTAAAACATAATTTTAATATTTTTCACAAGAACATGTGTTGTATTTGATACTCTGTGTTGATTAATTGCCCTGGTAGATTATTGTAGGATGTCACAGTAGTAAGGGCAAGGTTAAAATAGTAGCAGCACCAGTAGATTCTCAACTGCTACTCTTTGAATGTTTCATACATGTTGAATTACTAATGAACTGCATGTATATTTGCACATGTTTTAATTCCATGAATATCTCTGAGATTTTGTTCATGTATGTGTTCAGGTTACTGCCCTGGTCTCAGCGCAGCCACAAATTTAATGTTCTACCGTTGATCCATTTCTTCCATATTGTCACAGAAAAAATCTAAGCATCCTAAATTGAAATATTACTCAGACATTGGCTGGATTTATTTTTCTTTGTATTCAAAGATTCATAATCACTTTTTTTTTACTAAAAGGAATGTAAGATTAATTAGTAAGATGGATTGTGGGTGACGGTGTATTTATCTTACTGTATCTATTGTTACAGAAATTTTATGAGAACATGAGCATTTAGGATTGTGTAAGTATGTAAATATGTCTCTTCTTTTAATCATAATGTTTTGTTACATTTTTGGATGAGATGACTGGTAAATGTTTTAAAAGGAAATATTACAGGGAGTATTTTTAGTTGAGTAATATTCTTCCTATTTTGACTAATGAAATGCCCATGTAAAATGATATAATTCGAACTATGGTTATGGGGTCATCAATAAATGATGTCCTAGGAGGGATTGGGGGGGGGGGGGAATATTACATCATGTGGTCATTACACATGTAGTCACTACAGATCATGTGATTACTACACATGTGGTTACTACACATCATGTTTTGGTTACTACTACACATCATGTGGTTATGATACATCATGTGGTTACTACAGTTGATATGTTGAAATCATGCTTGTCTTTCAATAGACATGCATTATTTTTTTTATTATACTCAGTATATATATATTATAAATAATAATTTTAATGTGCATAATCATTTCACGGATAATAAGTAATACAAATGAGACCAATACTCTTTAAAGAATGTTAAATACACAAGTATTTTTTTAATGAAATGATTATTGAAATAGCATGAAATAGAAACAAAAAGAAAGTTTTTAATCCAACATGAACTGTTCCTGTATGGCTCTGTGTATCCTATGCATTGACATGTTGGGCACTGTTTCATTTGTTTCAACAGTAAGCTTCAATCATCAGCAGTGTCTGTTTAAAAAAGTCCCCATGACGTGTACTCTCATTAATGTAGCTGCTATATCCAAGGATTGAGTGGGATGTTTGAGCACTGGAAAACTTGGCTGTACTTCTGGTACACTCTCAGCTCACCCATGTGGTAAGACAGGTGTGCTTACATGGGTCTCTACACTCTGGAGGAAAATGTTCACTCTCGGATCTGAAAACTTGAGCATTCTCTACTGTCATTAAACCTAGTAGATCGGACTGCTGCCTGGATTTGTAAAACTTTTATTCTATGCTATTTTTTTTTAGATAGGAATTTGTTGTTAGGATGCCACAAAATATAACTGACAGCCTCAAAAGAGTTTTTGTTCTATGTGTACATGTATGACATCATGTATGTTTTGTATATCTGCCGGCACCTGCACCATAGATCAATGTGGGGGGGGGGGGGGTTCTAATATTACTGCGACAAATATATTAAGTCAACAAAATAATTTTGGAAATAAACTTGAAAGCTCTAGTCATGACCTAATCTTGTCTCACCATAGTTGGTATTTTGGATGGAAAGAAATCGTCCTTTTTAAAAAAAAAAACAAAAAACCTGCAATTTCGTGGGGGGGGGAGGGGTGAGAGACGACTTCCCAACAGGTTAAATGTGACCCCCACTATAATAAAACAAAGAAACGTTACCCAGACGTTGTCCGTGCAGGCTGTGAGAGCTGCTACAGCGTCTCAATGAGTGTGACAGGCTTGTTGTTCTCATCTAAAACATACGTGATTCTCTCTTTCTCCCCCGCTGTGTTGATCCTCTCCGTCTTACCAAAGGCCACACCTTTCTGTCAAATAAAACAGTAACAACAGCTCATAATGGAGCTCTGTAGCCACACTTTGGAATGCACGTCGACACTTTCTGCTGATGGAGCGGATATAAACACATTGGCTTTCAGGTTAAGTCAATAAAACTGAGAAGATATATTTTGTAGTGTAAACAATTAAAGACTTTTATTGCAGTGTAACGTTAAGGCCCAGACATTTGAAGCCGTTTATTAGATATAGTGGACGAATAAGCACATACATCAAGCTATGACTCATAGAATCTGGTCCTATGATGGGTCTATCTAGTTTTTGTACCCACAATAATCCCCTGATCCCACAGCTGGGGCCGTGCTATTTTTGATGATGTATATCAAACCCTTTCTATAATCAACTGAGAGACTTACCAGCACTTGTTTTCCTTGAGGGGTGTCTGTCTTGTCATCTGACCACGGGGGGACAAGCTTTTTCCCGGCAGGTTCGCTGTGGTCATCTGACAGTGGGGCCTGTAGACAAGTTTGGCGGACAAGCTTCTTCCCTACATGCTCGCTGGGACCTGACAACTTCCGCTTCACTGGGCTGCTTATGCGGCTCACCGTTAAGATTGGGTCTCCGTTCTTCTCAATAGACTTCACAAAACTGTTGAACTTTTCCTGGAATAACTGCTGATCACTAGCAGAATTCATCTTTCTGGCATTTCTTTTCTCTTTCTTTATTGTGTGTTTGGTGTTAAGAAAGGAATTTTGTGGCAGAGTGTTTGTAATACTGTTTTGTCTATATGTCTTTATTGGTAAAACAAAGTTCTCTTTGCTCGGGTCATGAGGGTCAGACTGGGGAGCCTGGCCGTTTTTATTGCGCCGCTTGTTAGAGCCCTTGTTTAAATTACTTGCCGAAGCACCAGCTACTTCAGTGAGGAGTGTTAGCTCGCCGGGTGTGTAATACTGCATATTGTTAGCCGCTTTTAATTGTGGATGGGCTGAGTTTTCAGATTTCTGGATGAAGGCGACCAAATTAGTTTGGCAAACAAGAGCTGAAGTTGTTCTGGCTGCTACCTTGGGATCACCGTGTCCAGTTAGTGTGTCAGCGATCAGTTGAGCGCGACTTGAGCCAGCAGGCTGATCAAGTTCCAGTTTGATGCTTGTCTCGTCCCACCCTGGGACAACACTCGGCATGTCGCTGCTCGATGGCTGGGGCGGTAATGATTCCATCTGAGCTTTAAGACCTGTGTCTGGTGACGATCCAGTTCTTAGACTTGATTGCAGTGGTGACCCCGTCTCAGTTTTTAGATTTAATTGCAGTAGTGACCCAATCTCCATTTTAAATTCTGTACTACCAACGTTTTCCTGAGACTTTTCATATTTTATAGAAGAAAGCACAGTCTTCACATTTCCTGAGGCCAGTTGAACTTTTTCTTCTAGGGATGATGGATGAATGAGTTTTTGCAGAGATGGTAGGTGGGTGGGTAGTTCCAGAGATGGTAGGTGGGTGGGTAGTTCCAGAGATGGTAGGTGGGTGGGTAGTTCCAGAGATGGTAGGTGGGTGGGTAGTTCCAGAGATGGTGGGTGGATGGGTAGTTCCAGAGATGGTAGGTGGGTGGGTAGTTCCAGAGATGGTGGGTGTGTGGGTAGTTCCAGAGATGGTGGGTTGATGGGTAGTTCCAGAGATGGTCGGTGTGTGGGTAGTTTCAGAGATGGTGGGTGGATGGGTAGTTCCAGAGATGGTAGGTGGGTGGGTAGTTCCAACAACTGTTTATCCGACTTAAATTTTAGCTGCCTTGGGCTGCCTGTCCCCTCACGTAGACAATGAAAAGTGGAACTTTCTCTTGTGTTGTTGCACGTTTCACCTGTCTCCTCCTGACGTACTCGAATATTTGAACATGTTTGGTTTAAACTCATCTTGTCTGTGTTCCCGGATCTCGCTTTCTTTTGTCTTTTTGGTTTGGGGACGATGAGCTCAACAACAGGAGTTTTGTTTTTCTCCCTCTTATTTCCTCTCAGTTTCTCTTCGTACTGTGCGAGGGTGTGAAGTTTACCGAAACATCCCCGTTTGTAGTGCGAGAACACGCGATATTTGCAGTTAAAAACGCCCAGACATAATGAGCAGGCAGCACATTCGCAATTCTCGTTTTTGCCCGTTTTCCGGAAGCAGTCATTTGCGTGGAGCAAGGGAGGTTGTCCAATGAGCGAGTAACATTGGTGCTTTAAGAGCTCTAGGAATGAAAAACAGCGGGCGTTGCAGATTTGACACTGGAACTTTCGCTCATCCTCTGGCACTGGGCAGTTTTTGTTTGTGTGTGCAGGACATTTCTGTCGGCCGGAGCGGTGTACAGTAGTCTGGGTCGACTTGACACACGCATCAGTACCGGCCTGACCAGACAGAGCCCATTCGTCCACGTGGTTGCTCTCGTCCTCTGCTTTTGTTGCCAGCTTGTCTAGGTTCAAATCTTCACACAAGCTTTGACCGCCTGCCTTTAGGAAACAGGCCAAACGTGGGTGACCTGCTAGGACTGCTGACTGGACAGTGCTTGACGTACAAGAGTTCCCAGCTAGAAGTTTAACATCAGCACCGGCTGGGTCGGGGGCTGGACTCTGGCGGTCAGAAGAATTAAGTCTCCCCAGGTCTAGGAATTTAAAACTACTCTTTTGTCTTTCTGTCTTGTGCCTGTTCCTGTTTTCTTTCATTCCAGTGTTGGTCTTTGTGCTAGTTTCATCCTGGTAGTTACTCTCCTCTAACCGCCTACTGTGTTGGAGCTCTAATTTCCTCACAAGATCAGCGGTGGTAAACCGTCTTCTATCCACGTGTAGTTTATCTCTCTCCCCACAGTCTGCACGTGTGTCACTGTGGGAGCATGTCTTGCCCCTGGGAACTTGCAGCTCCGTGTAGTTCTTCTTCACGGTCAACGCTCTCTGTGGTAAAGTACTGCAGTCGTCTCCCAACTTGATTACATCGTCACTTGATAATTGTGTGCTGAGTGAAGTGTTACCTACATCAGCCGTACACATGCTATTGGTACGTGAAGTGTTCCCTACATCAGCCGTACACATGCTATTGGTACGTGAAGTGTTACCTACATCAGCCGTACACATGCTATTGGTACGTGAAGTGTTCCCTACATCAGCCGTACACATGCTATTGGTACGTGAAGTGTTCCCTACATCAGCCGTACACATGCTATTGGTACGTGAAGTGTTCCCTACATCAGCCGTACACATGCTATTGGTACGTGAAGTGTTCCCTACATCAGCCGTACACATGCTATTGGTACGTGAAGTGTTCCCTTCATCAGCCGTACACATGCTATTGGTACGTGAAGTGTTCCCTACATCAGCCGTACACATGCTATTGGTACATGAAGTGTTCCCTACATCAGCCGTACACAAGCTATTGGTTCGTGAAGTGTTCCCTACATCAGCCGTACACATGCTATTGGTACGTGAAGTGTTCCCTACATCAGCCGTACACATGCTATTGGTACATGAAGTGTTCCCTACATCAGCCGTACACATGCTATTGGTACGTGAAGTGCTCCCTACATCAGCCGTACACATGCTATTGGTACGTGAAGTGTTCCCTTCATCAGCCGTACACATGCTATTGGTACGTGAAGTGTTCCCTACATCAGCCGTACACATGCTATTGGTACATGAAGTGTTCCCTACATCAGCCGTACACATGCTATTGGTACGTGAAGTGCTCCCTACATCAGCCGTACACATGCTATTGGTAC